GTATCTCTTATTGGGAAGCAGCAGGTGTTCACCCGCGAATATTACCGGAAATCATTTGTCAAACGTAACAAGAACCCAGAGATCAACGAGAAAGTACATCTAATTCGGACGCTTCAAAGCACACTCAAGGCAGGTGGAACATAAATTTGTGCTGAGAAAGAGCTCTATTTATGGGATGGATGCCTTGCCGGGGGGCGGGGGGGGGGTTGGTAGGACTTGTTTTATGGTTTGTTGGGGTTTTTTTGTTTTTTGTTTGTTTACTGAAAAAGTTATGGAAGATGGAGGTAAATTAGCTCATTTACAACTGTAATATACTTCGCTAAATAAGCACAAAAGAGGAAAATCCTTTTTTTTAAATATATATTTTAATGGCTACTTTTCTTGAATCCTAGCCTGCAAAATGTGTGAAATGTGGATTTTATTTGTATCATATTTTACCTTTCTTGCAAAGACAGTAGCATAAATAATTCCATCTCTTGCTTGCTTGAGCCTCACAATAATCCTTTGGAGAAGTAAGGAAGACCATAATTAGCCCACTGTCATGATTATATAAAGATTTAACTCAGGATTTCCCCAAGACCCATACAATGCACTTAGCTGGGAGGTTTCGGGATAAATCCTGAAAAGGGTTTCCCAGAGTAACTCTCCTTTTTGAAACCTTAATGGGGCTTAACAAGAGCTGAAGGCCTTATAAGATCCTATGCTGAACTTATCACTAAGAAGGCTATAAGAATTTGCTTCAGATGACATATATTGGGGATATCAGTGAGAGGACGGGAATAGCATTTGTTCTAAGCTGAGAATCCCAAGTTCAATTCTTGGGTTTTTCCAAATAGGGAAAATAGATGTGTCTGAAATCCTGCAGATCCACACAGTAGTGGAAAGTACCACATAGGGCCACCAGCGTTCTCAATCAATAAAAGTAGCTTCTATACTGCTGATATATCACTGTCAGATTGTTTCTGGGTCCAATGCAAGGTTTTGATGTGCTCCTTTTACAACCCAGATCAATCTGAGACCAAAATATTTTAATATCAAAGGAGATTTTTTTAATGTCATGCCTGGTGTCCATCTGACCTCTTGCGCTGGTATCCAGGCCAAGTGTCCAGCCCATGTGAGGCAGATACAGATACAGATTATCAGAGTTGGAAGGGACCTTGTAGGTCATCTAGTCTAACTCTCCACCCAAGCAGGAGACCCTGTCTGCACCATTTCTGACAGATGGCAGTCCAGTCTCTTCTTGAAAGCTTCCAGTGATGAAGCTCCCACAACTTCAGAAGGCAACTTCTGTTCCATTGGTTGATTGCTCTCACTGTCAAAAAATTTCTCCTTATTTCCAGGTTGAATCTTTCCTTGTTCTTTATAAAGACTTCCCCAATAGTGTGGGCTTAGACATACCTGATTTGCATAGTAATGTCTTTTTACTCCAAGGAAAGATAGTCCTCTTTTAGGCTTAATAACGTAAGAGATTGAACCAATCTGGCACAATGGATTTGATGTTTCCTCTGCTGTTTTTGAACAGCATTTTATTTATTTGTTCATTTATTTATTTATTTTTCCTTTTAAAAGTTTAGAAAATGTCAATAGTTTTAAATCCTTTTGGAATCTGGCCAGACACTTTTGGCTCTTGGATGCATTAGAAATATCATGAATAAAGTCAGTACGACTTCAAGGGAGAACAGTTTGTAACTGGAAGTTTATTAGTATATCGGGTGTTTTGCTTCTCAAGACCCCAACATATTTTGCGACAGCTTTGTAAGGGTGGTGGGCCCTTGTCTCTCTTGAAAGGGATCTAGCAAACCATTTAAAAGCCACTCCAAATGGCTGTGCTATTTTGGCCTCTGTTGTCCTTGTAAAAGTGAGTCATGCACCAGCCTTAGAACATTCCTTTCCTTCCCCAGGCCAAAACTGCTGAGCTCCAATTACTTGATATTCTACTCCAGGACACCGAACTGAACTCTGAAAAATTCAGGAGCTGGAAAGAACAACATCAGGAGTTATACCAGGAAATACAGATGTGGTGGGCTAAAAAACTGGACCAAGACAATGGCTCACTAGATTCAAGTTTTGACCTCAACTTGGAGGCAGCTGCAGATCCGTAACATCTGTGGGACCTCTGTCCTGTGAGCTAAAACCTTCTTCCCCCAGCTCCACTTGCGGAACACCAGATAGAAGTGCACTTTTGTCATTTCTAAATTTTGGATAGGAATGTGTTATGACAAGCTTCATCTTTAGAGGGCATTGGGATTACAGTTGGGTTGGTCTAAAAGTTTTATCCAGACAACAACAATAGCTCCAAATGATTCTCTCATTTTAGAGAGATGGATTATAAAGATGGTGGCAATGGAGAAAGATTGTTGGCTTTTTATGTAACGATGGAGATTTCCCAACTGCAAAATAGAAGACCAACGAAGAAGAAAGTGGCTAAGCATCTGGGAAAGAAGCTGGCATTGACTAGCACAGACTTTGTGCCCTTCAGATTTCTTCAAAACAAGCCATTTCCTCCAGCATCTTTCAGAATGAAACTTTCCCTTGAGTATATTCAGCAACTGAGAGACATCTGAGTAAACCAGTTTGTGGTTTTCAGTAATGATAGTTTATATTGAAAACCAACTTGCATTAGAACCGGGATACTGTAAACATGTAAGAAATGACATTTATATAAATAAATGTCACAATATGTTTGTAGTCACAATATGTTTGTATAATTAAAGGTAGTTTAATTATTTTTCTCCTTATTTTTATTTTCAAAATGACCATTTGCCAACAATCCAGCTGCAATACAACAGAATGAATAATAATGGCATTTAGTCTTAAGAGTTATATACTGCCCCATAGTACTTTTCAGCACTCTCTAGGTCACCAGGATCAATGTTTTTATTGAAATTACTAAGGCTGTTTGGCTTTTACTAAGAGAATTGGAAGACAATATAGTTGTGAACCATGAGATGTCTTAAGTTAATAAGCACTGAAACACAGATGAGCATTCCTCTATATCGTTTATTCTTTTTGGTTTTGGACAGAGAGAAATTCAGGTAAATGTGCAAGGCAAAACTGATAGAATAGTGATACATACATTGTATGTTTACTGCAGGTCTAACCGTGGGACCTAATGAAATGTTGATGGTTCTGTAACATGAGGGGAAGAATAGTAAAAATTAAAACCCAGAGCCAACTAAAATTTTCTGGAACTTTCATTAACACATATTCAATATGTCATGTTAAATTTGACTAACTGAAGTATGTTGTCTGCAAAGAAATGGAGGATGTTTTGAGCCTCCTAATACACATTGCAATGTTAGCTTGCAGTCCCTAGAAACTTGAAGTAAAATCTTTCAGGATTCTGCTATTAGGTGGTTAAACACTACGCTGTATGTAGTGTGCAATTGCAAGAATTTTTCTCATTTCTTTGGATTATTGTCCAGTTGCATCCTGAAGGCGATTTTAATTCACTGTGGTATCTTGTGTCTTATGAAGATCCAGCAGGGTCACTGATCAAGTGCCTGAAACAAGGAGTATCACTTGATTTATTTTATTATTATTATTTTCCAAAGCACCAGAAGGCAAGACAAGAAACAATGGATGGAAGCTAATCAAGGAGAGAAGCAACTTGGAATTAAGGAGAAACTTCCTAATAGTGAGAACAATTAATCAGTGGATCAGTTTGCCTTCAGAAGTTGTGGGTGCTTCATCACTAGAGGTTTTTAAGAAAATAAATGGACAGTCACTTGTCTGGAATGGTATAAGGAAGGGCTGTCAAACTCCCGGCCCATGGGCCAGATGTGTCATGTGCTGGACATGCCCACACCTCATTCAGTGAAGGGGAAAAAAGTCCCAATACATCACATGATGCTGCCGTGACATGAGCTTGACACCCCTGCTATAAGGACTCCTGCTTCAGCCAGAGGGTTGGACTAGAAGAGCTCCCAAGATCCCTTCTAGCTCTATTCTGACAGGAATAATGTGTAGAAATGCTTGGTTTGCAGTGGCTCAAGTCTAGACAACCACATTTCTTCTTTAACTGTAGAAAGCCAGTTTGGCGTAGTGGTGAAGATGCTAGCTTAAAAACCAGGGAACTTTGAGGTCTAGTCCTCTTAGGCATGAAAGCCAACTAGTGACTTTGGGCCAGTCCTTCCCTCACAGATCAAAGCACCTCACAGGATTGTTATGAAAAAAATAGCAAGCTGGAGTACTGTATTAGGCATGTTTGCTACCTTGAGTTGACATACATATATATTGTATATAGGTCATGTGTATACTGTATGCAGGTGTGTAAATTCCTATAAATATGTAAAAAGGCAGGATAAAATTGAATAATTCAGATTAATGGAATAGCTCATTTTATAGACCTCCTCCCAATCCCATCCCCAAAAAACCTTTCACACTTGCCTTTCTCACCCCACTGCCCCTTTTTAATTTGTGCATTTGAACCTTCTATCATTTTTTTTTTATAAGACAGATTTTGCTGTTCTGCCTTTTGTCCAGTAAAAAAATGGTAACGCTGACAGAGGAGGGGTGAGTTTTACCAAGCAACAGGTTCTCCATCACACCGCCCCTAAGAGAAGCAACATCATCTAATCCAGGGATCTCCAACCTTGGCGACTTTAAGCCTGGTGGACTTCAACTCCCAGAATTCCCCAGCCAGCTGGCTGGGGAATTCTGGGAGTTGAAGTCCACCAGGCTTAAAGTCGCCAAGGTTGGAGACCCCTGATTCTAATCAACTTAGGTCCATTCTTACATGATTTTTACAGTTTTCCTACGGCCAGCGGCAAGGAACAATTTTCTTCCGCTCTCAATTTAAATTGGGGCGAAGGGCGGAGCTTGTTACCCAAAGAGAATTTCCATTGGACAATCGCGGACGGTTCTACTCTGGGGGGTGAAGACCAATAAAGAGACAGCTGGCCGGACGCCGCGAGCCCGCGCGCCTGGGATGTCGTAACCTCCCGCTGGCAACGGTTGCTGCGCACGCGCGGTAGCCCACGGCTCGGGGGGCAGGCTTATCGCCGCGGTCTCTGAGGCGCTGTTTTTTTCGCTGGCGGTGGTCGTTAGTCTCCATTTAAAGTTCTCTTAAGTGGAGGCCCGAGGTTCCCTCGGAGGTAATAATCAAAAAATTACTTTCTCCTTTTGATTTAAAAGTTTCCAGCCCTGAAGAGTTTCTCGTTTTCCTTCCTTCAGTGCTTCAACCTCTGGAATTGATATCTCTGCTTTTTTCTTGGGGGGGGGGCGGGGGGGGGAACACGGAAAGTGAAATTATGTACCAATTGAATACTTTGCCCCAACTGGAGCGCTCGAGACAGCGCGAACTACAATGTCCATCTTTCATCGCCTTCACTTTCGGGCTGTAGATAACGGGAGTTGATGTCTGATGGGTCGAAAGGACTACAGGTTGGGGGAAAAGCGGCTTAGTCTGGAGCATGCGCAGAACTGGTGCTAGAAGGGGGCCTTGTTGCATTGGGGAAGCACACAACCCCCCCCCCCCTGTTACCCCCCCCCCCAAACTTTGGGCCATCAAGCTTGTTAGAGAGATACCCCTGGTATATAATGGTGACATGAATGATTTATTTACAGGTATAGTCCTCTGCTTGGGACCCCAGTTGAGCCCAACGTTTCTATGGTTAAGTTGTTAAGTGAGTATTCCCCCATTTTGTGACCTTTCTTGCCACAGCTGTTAAGCGAATCATTGCGTTTCTTAAGTGAATCTGGCTTCCCCTTTGACTTTGCTTGTCAGAAGATCCCAAAAGGTGATCACATGACCCTGGGATACTGCAATTGTCATAAATACATGCCAGTTGCCAGGGGTCTGAATTTTGTTCACCTGACCATGGGGCTGCTGCAACAGTTGTAAGTGTGAAAAATAGCAATAGCACTTAGACTTGTATATTGCTTTATAGTGCTTCACAGCCCTCTCTAAGCGGTTTACAGAGTCAGCCTCTTGCCCCCAACAGTTCGGGTCCTCATTTTATCCACCTTGGAAGGAGGGAAGGCTGAGTCAACCTTGAGCCTGGTGGGATTTGAACTGCCAAATTGTAGGCAGGTGGCTGCAGAAGTAGCTTGCCAGTACTGCACTCTAACCACTGCGCCACAGAGGCTCATAAAAATGGCCATAAGTCACTTTTTTCAGGGCCGTTGTAACTTTGAATGGTCACTAAATGAATGATTGTAAGTTGAGGACTACCTGTATTTTATTGTATTTAAATGTATAGGCCATCCAACTCCAGTAGATTCTGGCTGGAGCACAAAATTAAGCACATTTTTTAAAAGCTAAAACATGTCCATACGTATGTATACAATTTTTCTTTCACAAACCAAATCTGCATAGTTTTTCTCCCCACAATCATCCTTTTGCTCTGGTGTCCCCACCACACCCACCACACAGCTTTTTCTGGGGCCATAGAACAAGCATCTATTTTGAAACATGAATTATTTAGCTGTAATTAACACGGGTCTAAGCTTCGTTATTTTTTTGTTTGACTTGATTGCGGCAACAAAAATACTTTGGTTATTTGATGTTTAGTCCAGTGGTTAGGGTTAGGGTCGAAACATTCTTAAAAATGGCAGAAAGAGTTTTATTTAGGTAGCTTATATCTATCTCTATGCACTTACTTTATTAGAAATTAAAGCAATGTTAAAATATACTTTTGTCTTCGCAGACCCCCTGAAAGTGTCTTAGGAATTCCTAGGCATCTGCAGACCATACTATGAGAAACACTAGTTTACTGTATTGTACAAACATTAACTCAGTAATATGTTATATGTCAATATGTTATTTGAACACAGCCAATAAACCACCCAAAGTCACCTCACAGCAAGATGGGCAGCAAACAGATTTAATACTAACTTAAAAACTGATTTTCACGTTAGTGGGATTTCATTCCAGCTAAGTTTGAACAGAATTGCAGGGTCAAACGAATGGAAGAAAATAAAACTTTCTGGCAATTATATAGATAATATACAAGAATGTTTACTCATTCCTTCCTTTCATGGATTAGGTCTATATGTTGTCAGATTCATGAAAGGTTCATTCTTAGTTGAGAGACCTAAGTAGTCTGTATATAATTAGCCGAGTAATAGGGAAAGAATCCAAAAGTGTTACAAGGTAATATTGAGTAAATTGGGAGGAAAAAAGCTGTGATAATGATACAATAAATCTGATGGTCTTTAAAAACTCCATTTTGAAAAATAGGATACTAAACAAATACCTTGGCTCATAATATTTGCTATTGGTCTGCATTGCATATTGGCTGTTTTGCTATTCTCTGTTAATGCTATTGTAAAATTATGTGCTAGGATTTATCATTTAAAAATTTTGTTGTGGAGTGGCAGCCCAGAATTTAATTCAGAAGTCAGCTGATACACCATCTTCCTGAAGACTTATTGAGTTCTATATATTAATAAAAACATCCTGGTCAAAGTGTCTTCTGGGCATAAATGAGATTTTGGGAAGGTTTCAGATCAGTTGGAGAGCTTTGACTCGGCTGCCTCTACCTTGGTCTGATTGCATCAAAGTTTTGAAGACCTGATCAGAACAGAAATCCATGAAAGCAGTCACCAGAATTGAAGCTTAATTTAGGAAGATTATTACCTTTTTATATTTATGAAAGTGTTATATTGTTGCTCTTATGTTCAACTCCCTAGGTACGGATCTGAACATTCCAGATCAACCTGTGGTTTTTAGAGAGAAGTGTTTATCATAAATCAAGAATGGCTGCCTCTGGGGGAACATTTATCGGAGCCCCCCCATCAAGCAATAATGATGGTAATTTTTTACTTTAATCTCTTAATTCTTAGAATCCCTTTAATTTTTTTTACTCCCCGTATTAGATGAAATTGTAAAAATCTTGAGACAATACACTCAGTGAGGACCAATAAATTGAAGAACAGCTCCAACAGTTTGTGCAGGTTGCTACAGAGTAGTCTGATTAGTTAAGTGGATCACATTCAGAAATTCAGCCTCACAATTCTGTCTCCTCCATATATTCAGGCATGGAGATCTGAAAGGCAGTTTAATTTCATGTGTACAACTGAGTCTCTAAAGCATTGTCTCCTTCTGTGTGTGCTAGCCTGACAGGTCTTTTAATATTTGGATACCTTTCTCCAAATACTTGTCTTATTAGACATTAAAGAAGTACTATTTAGTGCCAGGGATAGTCTTCCTAGGAAGTTTTATTTAACATTTCCCCCTTTATTTTGCTTTTCCTTTCAAATTAAATTGATTCCTGGATTTGACACAGACATGTCTAAGCAGTTTTTTTGGCAATATTTTCCCCCAGAAATGGTTTGCCATTGCCTTCTTCCTGGGATTGAGAGGGAATGACTGAACTAATATCACCCACTTGTCTTCTGTGGCAGGATTACAAGTCAGATTCCCATGTTTCTAGTCCAGTATCTTAGCCACTAGATCAAACTGGCTTTCTCTTTACTAAAACATAAACAGCACTAATCTACTTTTCTGCATTGCCTTATTAGACAAATTTTTGATCAATCCATTTTTTCTCACATTTTTAAAAACGATTTTAGCAGTTTATCTAAAGTTAACTTCACAATCCACTTCCTAATAATCTGAATTGGTGTTATATATACATTTGAAATTTATATGATGAATCTCATGAGTGAGAAACTGTTAGAACACCATGCCCCTTGCAGTTTAGTATAGCTGCTGTTGTTTTTCCTGTATTGAAATCTGAGAGCTACTAAGAATAACTTCATACGACCATCTAGTTAGCTCTGGTATTTCCACGTCAGTATTTTCAGCATTCAACTTCCTATCCCATATAATGATTTGCAAAAACATACGCTTATTTTCAGAAGAGCCTGGTGCCAACATAGAACCATTTACTGCATTTTCATAGCAGTAACTAGTTAACTGTTTCCTTGGAATAGTAGCCTGTTCCTTTATATATCTGGAAACAAATGAGGATTTCAATTCAGTGGATGGGAGTATAATTAAGATCTAAGTAAGTTTTGACATTTTCTAAAGCTTTAACTTGTGTTTTATGAGCAACTAAAATGCTACATGATTACAAAGTCTTATTTAATCAAAAAGGCTTAATCTGATTGCCTATCTAGATTTTATTATTAGTCATAACACTATACATTAAGAAAGCTAATGATCATTATTATAATTACTATAAGCAGTAATTATCTGTTCTGAGCAATTTTCTGGATACTTGGTATACAAAAAAGCCAGGGTAAGTGAAATATCAGCTGATCTATAAAATTTCATTTTTAATTCCGGTATGGTTTTTTCTTTTCTAGGATCCAGCAGTCTCACCTATGGTTCTTCATTTCAACCCATCAAAACCCAAGTGGCCATTCCTACAGCTCATGTCATGCCCTCCACATTGGACAGATCAACTTGTCTAGCAAGTGAATTAAGCTCTCCTCAGACCACTTTGGCTTCCTCCATGCCAAATTTACTGGGTAACATGGGAGAACGGATGTCCAGCTATGACTCTGATACTTTAAGGCAATCCCAGGTGATCAACCGGAATTCTCTTTGTCTGAATCAGACTTCAGCAGAAAATGGTTACAATGAATCCTTGTTTCATACTTCCGGTCAGTCAGGTGTGGAATGTGTTCAGAAACCTATCAGCCTAGATGCTGAAGTCACACATTCTGCTTTTCTAGATAGGCATTCTCTTGGTCCTTGGTCCCAACTCCAGATGTACACTCCAGACAATTCAAATAGCACTTCTGCTGGCTTAAAAAAGGAATACAATAAAATACTGCAGAATACTAAACCACCAGCAGATTACAATAGAGTCTGTGGAAAGCAAGTACCCTTGGGACTTAATGCTGCTAGTATGTTTTCCACCCCTTTGGCTGCTCAATCTCAAACATCAAAGCTGGAAGCTTGTACACTACCTCCACATGAAAATTGTGCACACAGTGCTTGGAAACAACATATGGATTGTGTTCGGCTGCAACTGGAACAGATGCATGTAAGTTATTTTAATCTCTGTCTATAGGGAATGTCTGCATATGTAGTGTTTTTGCCTGTAACTTTTCTGCCAATGAGTATGTTGACCAGAGCTAATGTTGCATATTATTTTTAAAGTGAACCAATGCTGAATGAGAATCCTTAGAAACGTCTTAATTTAAAAGCCTGATGCATTCTAGTATTTACCTCTGGAGAAATAATCTCCTAAATGCTTTTATTGTAGAATCAAACCTTTAGGAAAGAAAACAAGGACTTGATGGCTGTAGATTTAGCTTTATAGGCTTTTGAAAAGTGGTGGCACTCTACATTTTCAAGGAGAGGTTGCAGGTAAAAGATATAGTATGACACATGGGCAATGTTTCATTAAACGCAAATCAATACAAGAAAAATGCAAATATATATTACCAAATTTAAAAATGCAATCTGAAAATTGATAAGTATAATAATTTAAAGAAAAATAGGGCATGGAGTAGAAATTAAAATTGTTATTAATAGTTCCAAAAACTATTATGATAATGCTTGAAAGTTTCTTGATTGAAAAAAAAGTCAAATGTTAACAAAATAATATCAACAGTCCATCATTTCAAATTTGGTGTAGATTTCTTTTACCAGTATTGTATAATAATTATTTTATGCCAAGTTCATATATAGACAGATTCAGCCAAGATAAATATTCATCTGCAAATTCCAGTGATCAATACAGAGTCATATTAACAATATTATTTATGTCAGCCAAAATGCAACATTAATAAGCCAGAACCAAATTTTTGAGAATTAGATGTTGTTCAAATGAGTTCAGGATTGCTTTATTGAGTTAAATTTTGCTGCTGTTGACTTTTATTTTCTGAACAGAGTGACTTATTAACTTGTTTCAAGGAGCTCTGCCATAAAATATGCATTATCTTCTAGATGCTTTATAGTGGCACACAATAATATGAAATTATGTCACAGACTATATATGCCTGATGGTGTTTGGATATAAACTGAAATAAGCTTCCATGTTTTAACATATGGAGAAGAGAACAAAAAAAAATCTAAACACAATCCTCTTCCCCCTCAAATCTAACACTGACACTCATGCCTTGTTTCTGAATGTCATAATTCCAGCTGCAAAATAAAGCAACTTGTTACTATCCTTTGGTGAACAGTACTTCACTGCACACACTTGATCCAGCTCAGTGGATTGGCATTACAAATACAAATGAAAATTTGCTCCTGGAGAAAGAAATTCTCATTGACAGGTAAGAAATTAAACATTAGTTTACCTTCTAGATTTTTTCACTAGGAAATAACAATGCTTAGATTGTATTTCATATTGATAGAAAAGCAAACAATCCTTGGCATAATAAACTTCACTGAATACTCTGCAACTTACTTATGAGTGGTTAAGCTTATGTTTTATATTTCCATGGAAGAAATTGCTGTATATTGTTCAAGACTATTTTTGCCCAAACACCAAACAGTTTTGGTGCTTGCTGTGTCAAAAACATAGGAATAGTGGGGAAGAACACCACTTTTTAAACAGAGTTTTTCTTCCTTCTCTCAATTAAATAGGAAGTGCATGGCTCCTTCTGGTTACACTAATATGTAGCTTGTCTTTTAACTAGAATAACAAATCTTTTGCTTCTAGGGTGAGTTGTGATTTCTCTTGAGTGCATTTAATAGGCTTTTATTGACTTACGAGGGGAATTGTGGAAGTGGATAACTTTCTCATTTAGCTTTTCCCCATACATCACTCTGTGAGTCCATGTATTGATTTCCTGCTCAGTTCCAAAATGAAAAAATAAATGCTATTTAACCATTTTACTGAAAGCCCTCTCATGTTCCCTTTTATACTTTTAATTTTGTCAGTGTTAATATACTGCACGGGTTTATTCTCATAGGCAGAGACAGCACATTTCCCAGCTGGAGCAGAAACTCCAAGAAAGTGAAATGCAAGTCCACAGTGCCCTCTATGGCCATCCTGCTCCTTATGGGGATATGCATCTGTTCAGAATGCAGGTAACCCTTATAACTGGTGGCACTTGAAATATGCTATTGGGGAAAGAATTTTAAATTCAGTGCAGGGTTGGAGGAGACATGAATGGAGAAGAAACATGCTGTGTAGCTGCTCCTTCAGGAACCTTTAATTTCTGCAATTATTTTTTTCTTTAAAATTCCTTTTATTGGAGTCAAGGCAACTTACTGGAGCTGAGCTTTGGCTGGATGCCCTTCCTGATGCCTATGCAGCAAATATTTTCTTTTTGTGCCCTGATAGAGAAAGACCTGCTGCTGCCTAGGACTGCACTCTTAGCCTCCTGAATATGAGGCGAGCATCTTCACTTCTAAGCACTCAGGTGTTTTCTGTACAGGTGTTTTGTTCCCTAAGCATTGGAGCTGCTTGATTCTCTGGTGAGCACACTGAAGAGAATCAGATATTCTGCTCGTCCTTCAAATATTGATGTGTTTCTCTTCTTGTCCCCAGTATTTACTGAGCTCACATTCAATTTGCAATTCTTCAAGGAATACGACGATGAGTATGGATTTTTAGGAGATGTTCTGCCTATTACTATTTTATTTAATATATTTTGCAGGAGTTACAGAGCGAGAATATATTTTTACGAGCCCAGTTTACCGAAAAAACAGAGTCACTCAATAAGGAAAAGATTGAATTGGAAAGGAAATTGGCTGCGTCAGAAGCTGGTATTAAACGGATCCAGGAGACTCACAAAGAGACCACACAGAAGCATACGGTGGAATTGAAGAAACAAGAAGAAAGGGTAGGCTTTTTGGGATGAAGCCCCAACAGATGTCCCAATGTCTGCTTATTTACATGGGAATGCAATTTTTTGTTGTAATATTTGATTCTTTCAATATTCACACTTCAAACTTTGATACATTTCATACCCTATTGTATAATAGAGAAGTGTTATGGGAAATGATGTTTTTATGAATTAATAAAAGAAAGGAGCAAAAGATAAAGCTTTAACATCTTCCCAAAATGATTGCACTAAAGTTAGGCTGGAGTATTATTAGAATGCTTCAGGTTTTCAGCAGAAAGCTAAATCCCTGCTCTTTATGTAATGTAAAATGTAGACTGTGTCCCATAACCATGTTTCTGGAAAGTATGTTTTTTTAAAACATAGGTTATGCCCCAGAATCACTTCCTTTTGTTGCACATAATGGTCCATTTTGAGTCACGGGCGATGCCTTTTTGCATCTGAAACCAAAAATGGAAAGTGCTGCTACCTACTCCTGATATTCTGTCCTGCAGATCAAGTCCAGAGACAAGCACATTGAACAGCTGAAAAAGAAATGCAAAAAAGAATTGGACCAGAACCATGAGAAACAGCAGAGAATTGAGGCTCTGGAGCGCTATATTGCTGACCTCCCAGTATTGGAGGATCATCAAAAACAAAGTCAACAGGTAGGAGGGCACCTTCTGGATGCAGCTGGCTTTGAAGAGTAGCTGGATAGTGTAGGCCTGCAAACTTGAACAGAGTAAATGTGTTAGCTTTGTGAACAGTCCAATTGCTAGAAGGAATTCCTTTAAAGTCTGATGTATGTGTTTGTTCTCTCTCCACCCCACCCTACCCTCAATGTTTTAGTTAAAGCAGTCTCAGAAGATAGTTAGCACTTTGCAAGAAACGGTGACTACTCTTGAAAGGGAACTAAGAGATGTTCGCAGTGACTGCCGAGAGAAGGAGCGGCAGCTAGAAGTGCAGAAACACAAAGAAATGGAACTGCTTTCCACCGTGCGCAGGTAACACCAGGGAAGTGGAAAAAACAAGAGCATTCGCTTCTAGGATAATCTAGAAGTACATTGTGCTGCCTGGCAATAAAACCTTCCTACAAATAGCAGGCACAGCAGGCCCATATAGGAGTATCAGAGAAAGGGATGGAAATAAAAAGAGACAAGTTCTTGACGGAATCTTCTTTGAAGAAGAATGACTGAAGTATGTTTAGCCTTAAGGAAAAAACACCTAAGAGGAGATAGAGGAGCATTTTTAAAACTCCTTCACTTAGAAGACTTTCAAGGCCTTTCTCTCTCATTCCAGAGTGTAGGATGTGCAATAATGGTTTTCAAGTTACAGGAAAGCAGATTCATTGGAATTTGAGAAAAAAAGGATGTTAATGTTAGTTACTGTTAGACAGTGGAACTGATTATCCAGAGAGATGGTTGTCTCCATTTCATTGGATCTGTGCAAAGAGAGCCTGGACAGCTCATCTGTTTAGGATGCCTTAATGTAGATTCTTGCACTAAGAGGGCCAAATGGCTCCTTTCGATCCTGATTCTAGTGATGGGAACTGTAGTGAGAGGAGAAAAGAGCCTTGAAAGCCAACTGTGGCAAAGCAGTATATGCTTTAAGAATCTATAGGGAATTGTCCTTGGACAGAGGCATTCACAGAACCCAGCAGATTTACTAAAAGGATGAAAGGAATGGCAGGGCACAAATCCCACCCTCTTTACAAGGTGTGTGTCCTCATGGCCTATGTACAAATTGGGCAGGATTTGCATTCTTTTGGCATGGCACTTTATTTCATCATTTGTCCTACTTGGTTTTGGCTTCCTCTCTCCAGAGAGAGGAAGGCGGAAAATGACTACAGAGTCAAAAGTGTGTTGGTTTTGGACTCAGAAAAAATCCCAGGAGTAGCAGTCACAGAAGATACTTCAGGTAGTCTTCAACTTACAACATTTTGTTTAGTGACTGTTCAAAGTTACAACAGGACTGAAAAAAAGGGACTTATGACCATTTTTCATACTTATGACCATAGCAGCACCTCCATGGTCACATGATCAAAATTCAGACGCTTGGCAACTGACTCATATTTGTGATGGTTGCCGTGTTCTGGGGTCATATAACCAACCACCTGACAGGCAAAGTCAATGGGGAAGTCAGATTCACTTAACCATGTTACTAATTTATCAAGTATAGTGATTCATTTAACAACTGTGGCAAGGAGAGTCGTAAAATGGGACAAAATTCACTTAACAAATGTTTCATCTAACAACAGAAATTTCGGACTCCATTATGGTCATAAGTCGAGGATTATATATTATATATGAGCTCTTTCTCTGTTTGGGGAAGGATAATTCTTTTGGGAGGGGGTTGTGTTTATATCTCCTTCCAGTATGTGCTTTTCCCTCAACTGGGTGCCCCTATTTATTACCCCTTTTAAGCCTGACTTCTTTCTGAGCGTCTTTACAAAAATCAGCCTTGCAGGGCATTTGGCTTGGGGTAGGTGGGGGCAACCACATTGGATCAGGCTTTGATGGCATCTTTATTTGCTTGCTTCCACCATGTTTTTTCCTTGAATACCATGGGAATTTGGTAACACTGGTAAGAGAACCTGCCTTGTTGTTTAGGCTTGATTGTGAGAATAGAAAGGCATAGTGCGTAGACAACTTTAGCTTTTCAATTTCTCACAGACGTGAAACTTCAACACAGACAGAATCAAGATTGGAGAATCTCTTTAATAGTTGCGGGTGTTGTACCAGCGCATGTCTTTGGAATGGAGCAATGTTTTTAATTTGCTTTAGAGGCAGAATGATGAAACTCACTTTCAAAGGGTGAGCTTGTATAAAGTTCAGTTCATTTAATGAAAACTTCCTGTTTCTTAGTTTACAAGATAAAATGCAGCAGATGAAGCCTTCAGTGCCAGAAGATTATGCCCAAGAGATAGAGAGAGAGAGAGGAGAAAAAGAGGCTCTGCACAAAGAACGTGATCTTCTCAGGAAGGTAACTCCAAAGATGAGGCTGGAGCTTTTAACTCTGCATCTACTTCGTATTGAATAGAAGATCAGCATTCTCTTCCTTTATGATCATTTGTAAATATCAATATTCTTGTTTTAGGATCTCATTGCAATATCTCATTGATCAGACTGGGATGTACCTGGTCAAGATTATAAACCCAATCAAAGTTGGGTTTATATCATAAAGAATCAAAATTTACAGCCACATTCACTTAAAATAAACATACCTGGGCTGATTCTATAATCTACAGTTACAAACATGGGAATCTTCCCCCATTGCCTTTAAAGAAAGAGTGTCTTGTGTGGGATGTTTGCCTAGTTTATTTTAACCCTTTTAAAAACTAACACGCTTTTCTGTTTCCTGGTCGTGATGTCTTCTCTTTATCTCCTCATCTTCACTCAGTTTTGTGTTCTCCCTTCCCTTCCTCAGTGCACCAGTGCCTTTCCTTGCTATCTATGCAACTTTTTTTGCTATTTGCAGATAAAGGGCTAATTATATAAGTGTAGAATACCTTGATTTTGCAGCAATTAATTTTAAAGTTAGTTCAGTTACTGTTAAACTCCCATTTTAGTGCAGCTTCCGGTGGATGCTTACATAGATACATTTGCATGTGATACACATTTATTGAAGAAGTGAATGTTTTCAGGAAAATAACGTGAGAAAGTTAGGCATTGTACAGATTTGATGTGGGTTGTTAATTTTGTTCTGTCTCTTTGGATAAATATTATTTATAACTGTTTATATCAGATGTTTGGAAGTTTAGCTTTTCCTGTAAAAATGATTTTAAACTAAGGCTGCATTGTATGGGATAAGTCAGATTTGCAATAAAAGAACCCATAAATTATGCTAATTAGCAATTTGAGTATGGGATTATCCTCAGGAATAAAACTTTTCAAGTCCTTTAGGTTAGTTCGCGCACATGGATACAAATCCTTGTGAGCACATTCATTCAGCAGCAGCACATATGGTGGAAGATGTATGGGAACATTTGATCATTTTTATTTTTTAAATTTAGATTGTGGAAAATCAGAAGAAGAAATTGGATCAGTTATCTTCACAAATAAAGGTGAGCTTCTTATTGAAAAATTAAAGGCAAACTTCTTGTTGAAGTAACACATCACTAGTAACATAGTCTCAATTTGTCTTCCAGGATCTGGAGGAACAGATTGCCCAGGATGATGGTACAGCCCAAGCTCTGAGAGCAGAAGCGTTGAAGCAGGAAAATGCATTGCAGCAGCTACGCAGAGCTGTGAAAGAGGTATAGCTTCTTTAAAAAAAACATTTGCAGTTTTAACAATCGCAATTATTAGACTGTCTGATTCTTCTTACTAGTTTACTACTGCAGTTTCTGTTTTTACATAGTGTATCCTTATCCATCTGATTTTTTCCCAGTTTAAATCTGTAGCCTGATTTGAACCTTCCCTTTTAATTAGTTCAGAAGTGCATAATCTTTTTTTAATTAATGCCTGTACTTTGACTTTGAGTAGAATATTAAGGACTATACTTTAAAAAGAAGAGAAAACAAGAAGAGAAAAACTCCATTTTATTTAAGTTTAATTAAAACAGAATTAAGATAACAAGAATGTTATTTTTCTCTATGTGTGTTAAATAAGTCTCCTTTCTGCCACTTCAAAGTAAAAACAAACACAGTTTAGAGGGATTACATGAGACTTGGAGAGGGCATGTAGTCCCATGATTCAAAGCCTTTTGACCAGCACGTACGCTATCAGTGTTCTGCATTATTGTAAGTGAGATTATGGTTCTGCTAGGGCTGATTCCTACAGTTTTGTTATCATGCTGAGATGTGATTTACATCTAGTGCCATCTAGCTGCTAGATTTTCTTCTTTGGTAATACAAAAACATACTGTAGTAAAAGAAGGCTGGGTGGAGATTATGTGGACTCCTGGAGATATGGTTGCCCAACTGAATCCAGCAGAAGTTGGATAATGGATGAAGCAGGACAATCTACATTTTGTCGTCTCCCTCCCTCCTGGGGGAGGGAAGGGGTTGGACTGCAAACATCTATCTGGTGCCATTCTGAATAAATGAAACACAAATAAATCACAAATATCCATAGAATATGCGAAGCACTTGTAACTCCTTCATTCTCCAATACTTTGTAAGCTAAGACAATCTAAATTCTATACCAATTCCTACTTCCCTGAAATGTATCTAAGGAGCATTAGATACTAAAAAGTATGCTAGATTAGCTTTCCTGGATACAAGGATTTTATAGGAATTTTATTTTTTCTATATTTTGACCACATTGCCCTTCTCTTAAATCAAGATAGATTGCATCTGCTTCTCGGGTGGGGAAAAGAGGACAAATTAAAACTCTCTCCAAATTGGAAGTTCTGTTCTGTGAAGCAAGGCATAAATGTATTGGAATGTCTCCTATCAAAATAATTTCCACTTTTCTTTGTAAGACCATTTTCCTAGTAGCACAAATGCAATAATCTTTGTTTTTTCTTCCTTGTAAAAACCAAATATCCCAATTCCTGCAAATGTATCTTTTCATTCTCCCAGCAGTGTGATGGTTAAGCCTAGACTATGCTAAGTGATCTCAGAACTAAAGGCAAAAGATACAGATGGACTTTCCGATGTTCCCAAACATGCTTGTGAAACCCAGAGCTGTGGAATCATTTTCGAAAGCCCTGATTTTTTACATCTTATTTTTAGCTGGCTTCTCAGAACCAAGAACTGATGGAAAAAAACCTGACCTTCCAGGAGCATCTCCGGCAGATGGAGCTGGGCCAGTTGCTGTCAGATGAAACAGCCAGCCTGACCCAAGAGCTGCATAGTGAACTAGCCAGCTGCCTACAGGACTTGCAGTCTGTCTACAGTGTGGTTACTCAGCGGGCTCAAGGAAAAGATCCCAATTTGTCGTTGCTGTTAGGCATTCACAGTAAGTCATAGGAGCCTGTTGTCCATAGTGACAGATTATGGTCCCTTTGTTTATAGTAGGACTGTAATCCCCTCATAGCTTTCTTAGCATGGTGTCCACAGCAAACCATGACACCACTTACCCAGTGACCCCCTTGTGCAGATCTTCCCCTTACTTACTTGGGTCCTGCTAACCTGACTCAAATCTCTTAAGTCATGGCATTTGCATGGTTATGACATCATGTACATTTTGTCACTTGCTGTTCTTGCCCTCCATGTAGGCACCCTTATATCCTATTACCTTGCCAATTGATGTTCTTTAATAGTACCTTTTAACTCTTCCCTCCATTTTATTTAAGCATGATTGCTTCTTGTGGAGCTCCCTAGATTTTTCTTGTGTAGTTTCAAGATTGTGATGTAATGGTTACATTTGTGATATTCTGCACTATCCATTTAACTCCAAACTACTTGGAGGCGATCTCCGTGATCATTAATAAGAGTTTTAAAAACTGCATTTTTTTTTAAAAAAAGGGAAAAACCCAACTTCATAGTTATTATAGGGATTAGATGCCAAATCCCCAATGTTGATTTTTCACTGGAAAATGACTAATTAATCTGAGACCCTTCTTCTGATTTCACAGCTGTACATTATTCTGTTCAACAAGAAAAAGACTTGTTGAAACCAGATACGCTAGCAAAGAAGCTGGAGGATGTAAAACAGCTACACAAAGAGATTGAAGATTTGCGGACTGCTATTTCGGACAGATACGCTCAAGATGTGGGTGATAACTGCATTACACAGTGAAGGCCAAATTAGTGGAAGATGTGAACTAAGTTTGTACTGTGCAGGGTGAGTTTTCAGGAGGCCTTTATTACCTGTTCAGGTGAAGATGCTTCCCACAACTGCAAATCAGATTTTCTCTTGACAGGAAAGCTGTCTAAGGAAAACAAGCCTATAAGGGTGTGGCAAAAACTTTTTTTTTTTTGTATCCTGTAATTCTGGAACTGGTTCCTGTTAGCAGCTGCAGTCAGGAAAGTGTCTTCCAGCATTCATTTCTGTAATTTATGGCAGAAACGTTTTTTCAGACACTACAATCATGGAGACTTTCTTTGTAATGTAATTGCTGTGAGGTTGCGAAATCTTTCATGAGTTAGGATTGAATATAAAATGGCAGTCTGTATGTAGAAAAACTGAATCGGCTGTGGTAAAGAAAGTCTGAACAGTGAAGAAAGATCTGTTTTTTTTTAAACAGGCTTTTGAAATTTCTAAGATAATCTTGTACTCTCAGGTTTTTTCCGATTCCTTCCTGAAACTAGAAATATGATGAAATTGTAGAAGGCATTATTGAAAGTTTTAGGATATGACCACTGCTAATGGCATGGACACTTTCAATGTCCATGTGCCATCTTGGGTTCATACATTTTCAATGCAGATGCACTTTTTAAACTGTATTTTCATATCACTGTTATCTATGCAAGCATTAACTTGACATTCTAGAATGTATGAATTCAAATGTTGAAATGCCTTAATTCTCCTAGAAATAAATCTTTGGAAAGAGAAACTGAATTTCGGTATTGCTGTCATGTGGACAATTAGGTTTATACACTGTAATAGACAGAATTACAGGTTGATTTTAAAACTAACCCTTCTGTGAAACAGGAAGGTGATAATTAAATTGGTTAGTCCTTATGACTGAACAGATTAATGCTCATTCCTCCACAAGGTTGTAATATGGGAGGAGTCTTTAATGCTGTGCCAGCACTTTACAAAAAGACCTTACATTAGGACAAGCATGGCTGGCGGTAGCTACTGATATTGATGAACTCCTGTCAATTGTAGGTAGCATGATCTATGTGAAGGCATGTAGATGGTCTACGCTTGCTCTTGAAATTGAAAATTGACCTTGAACAGAAAGCTGAGTATGTTCCTACAACATGTCAAATATTTACCTGTGGAAATTATTCAAATAAGAGAACTGCAAATCAAGCATTCTCCATTCTTTTGATTACAGTCTTTTTGACTACAATCCCAGCTGTAGATGTATTTAACTAAGTATATGAATACTTGTGTAATTTAGTTAAACAGATTGCTTATGATAAACTACTTCATTTAGTGGTATCTCCTGTAAAGGTTGACTGTAATCAGTGCTATTTATTCTTTGAACAATATATTTTTGACAATCCCTTGAATGTTTCTTCATATAATTAAGGTGGATTTTTATCATTATAGCCTAGGCTAGGGTCCTAGATATTCCAATTTCTTTTTGGGGGGTGGGGAATGAAATTCACTATTTCTTTATCTTTGGAGGACTGTCTTAATTTTGTATAGATTCAACTATTATTTTAAGTATCTTTCTAAGTCCTTATTTCAAATCCTATTCTGGGTTAGAATAGAATTCTATTATTTAATTGCCCAGAATCACTGAGGATCAGGCAATATATACATAAGTAACATATAAACAAAAAACTAAAACCAGAGTTGCCAGTTCTTTAACTGGTGCTTAACTGACCTTCATACATGGAGTTTTTCCCAAGAGTTTAGAATGTCATAATATATTGTAGTTATATGTGGATCTAAGCAGTGTGTCCTTATTTTCCTATAATTCATGGATTTTATTTTTGCTGAATAACTATCAGTGTATTTTTATTTTGAGTTACTTTTACTCAGTTAACCTAATTGAATAAATGTGTAAACAATGGCTGCTATTTTTTAGTAGACTATCTGGATACAATAAGTTTATTGTACCACTAATTTGTATACTTTCTCGACATTCTTTTAAAGCTTTCGAAAATATATTAGTGTGATAATGTCAGCCACCCTCGTCAGCCCATACACTGTCTGTTTGACATTTGTTGGTTTGCAGACAGCTATTTCCCAAATTCTCCAGATGCAATACAGTTGTAATAGCTAGTATTCTATATTTTGACAACTTTTACTAGCCTTTAGTAAAAGTTTAATAAAAATAGAGGGAATGTTTATAAAGCTATGATCTGAAATTGTGACAGAAGCTGTTTTATTGTCAGCATTTGGCATACATTTTTACTTGAACTTTTTGTACAGGCATAGGGGAAATTTCAGGGGTATAACATTTTGTTGTGCTTGCAGACAAGGAAAATCTGTTTGTATACTGGTTATTTTTATTGCAAAAGAGTAGAACTTTTAAATATAAAGTATATCCTTAATAGAAGGATTGCACTGAATTTCATTAAGATTGTAGTTTACTACACAATTTCTACATTACATTTTAAAACTAGGAGTATTTTAAGCTGTGTTCATTGTTTTAACATATTTCTTTCAGAAGAAATTAAATTTATTTTAAAAATAAGAAAGAAAAGTTCTTTGTTTTGGTAGAATTGACCAAGTTGCGTTTAATCAAAGTATATGGAATGTTTTGAATTCCAACCTTGATTTTTGGGACCACATCTGACTCTTAAATGAGAAATTTAGAAAATGTATTACTGAAATTATACACATTTCTTATTGATGCAAATTCAGTGTAGCAATAAAATTGCTGCAAATCCATTCAGATTCCAAATTTTAAAAAGTTATTAAAATAACTAAGGGTGAAAGTATAGCAGTTGCCTAGCTATCTAAGAAGCAGAAGTAAAAAAAAAACCCACCTATTTTTATAGCTGCCATTTTTTCCCCATCTTTCCTAATAAAACGAGCTGAAAATAGGAAGGTCGGGGATTCGTGAGCCAGATGCAACCAGAAACACAAATAAGCGTAAAGAACTTGTAAAAAAAATAAAAAATAAAGCACAACGTGTGAAACAGAGACTTGGTTGATCAGTGGAACAATTATCCTGTATCCACTGGATTTGTACAGACAACCACAACAAGAAGCGTTGCCAGTTGATGAGTCAGAGACCTTCCACGCCCGCAGGCGCCCCTTTTCTGGGCGGGGGACTCCGGAAGAGCTGCAAGGAGGCCCGCCGAGGCCGATCCCGAGGCTGCAGCTCCGGAAGAGAAGCGGGGGTGAGGGGAGAGAAGCGGGCCGCCTCTGAATCTTTTGCCGCCCCTCCGACCGCAGCTTGGCAGGCGGCGGACAGCTGAGCCTGGCGTGCTGCCTGTTCCGCATGCCCGCGGCCACTCACCCCATTGGTCGGGCTGCGGTCACGTGCTGGCTGGGGTTGGGGAGGCAACGGAGCCCTGCCCACCTTTTCGCTTCCTTCCCCATCCATCCACCCACCCAGCCAGCCAGCGGGCAGCCCAACGAGAGGGAGCGGAGCAGCCATGGCCTGCCTCACCATCTACAGCACTTCGGTGACCGGTTCTCGGGAGGTAAGGCCAGCGCAGAGCACCCCCACCCCGCCCCAACACACACACACCAGCGCCCGTCCGTGCAAGAAGTCGGTGCCGCCCCTTTGCAGCATGCGCTGCCTACGGGGGGTGGGGTCTTCTCTCCCCCCCCTCCGTCCCAGGGGCTGCTGCCTGCGCGCCCCCCACCCCGAACGGCCCTGCTCTCTCCGCACTTTCGCCTCCCTGCTTCTCGCGCCCCGCCCCCAAAGCCAGCTGTTCCAGATGTGCTCGCCTCTGCCTCCTCCGGGCAGAACATCTGGAGGAGGGCGGGCTATGCACCTTTCCTCTTAGCTTTTTGGGTGGGTTTCTCTTCCCTTTGGGTTCCCCGCGAGGGTGGATTCCTTAAGGGGAAGAGGAGCGACGCCTTTTCGGCTCCAAATTCCCGCCCACCGCCAGTGGAGAGACTGGAGCGATTTGAGGAAAGCCTGAACGGGAAGAAATCCAATCCTGTCACAAAGGGGAGGGAGGGTCTTCCTTTACCAAAGGCTCTTTCCCCCTTGTGGAGGGGAGGCGTGGAGCCTGCCTGCCTTCCTTCCTTCCCCATCCCCAGGCGTGGAGCCATCCTTACTCCGGTGGGGGGGCTGCTTGATCTCCACTAGGGGAGGATTCTGCCTGTATTTAGCTAGGATCGGGATTCGTTCACTGGAAGTAGGACTGGCTCTTAGTATTTCACTTGCCTTCTCTGCATAATCCCAAGGCAGGGTGATTCACCCTCTTCCCCTTTTCTCTCCCTCTTCTTCCTTTCCCCCACTGATATGCCTGCCCCACAGATCAAATCCCAGCAGAGCGAAGTGACCAGGATCTTGGATGGAAAGAACATCAAGTACAACATGGTGGATATCTCCCAAGACAATGCCCTTCGGGAAGAAATGAGGACCAAATCAGGCAACCCCAAAGCCATTCCTCCCCAGATTTTCAACGGGGACCACTATTGCGGGGTGAGTGGCCCCTGGCACAGTAGTAGGTGCTGTATTTTACATTACAATTTGGGAGTTTTCCCTGGGACAGCAGTAGCATTTCTACCTCCCCAGCCTTTAGCAAGAGCATTTAAAAACTGGAGGTGGGTGAAGAAGAACCAATCATGATCGTGGTAAATATGTCTCCTGGCATGGGACTATCCATGGATTTGGGTACAATACCGATGAGGCATGCCAGTGCCGTTGACTTTTTCCAGGGTGTGTTTCGTTTTTTTAAACTTCCCAGTCTGAACTGCAATCTTGAATTTCCTGGTAAATATTATGCCCATCCCTGCTTGATCAATTTTTTTCCCCTTTCTAAAGATCAGCCAAGGTTGGCTAAGTGCTGCCATCTGGTGCCTCTCACAATTGTTTTGCATTAATTGCTCATCTCTGGGCTTCATTGTTTCTTTTGCTTTCAACCCGGACTTTGTTTGGTTCTGTTGGCCCCTTTTAAATGAGAATGAATGTTGCCCTTCCCTCTGTACCCTCCATGCATGCTGGCCTTGAATTAACCAGAATTCCCAGTCAGCAAGACTCTTGGCTAGGCCAGCTGGAAATTCTGACTTTTAATAATTAACTTGTAGTTTTACATAAGAGGCTGGTCTGCAAACATAGGATGGAATATTGACTTCGGTAGCCTCATTTTGTGACCAGGCCAAGATTTTAATATTAATGTTAAATGAATGAATGGCCTGCATGACAAGGGCTGTGCTCTGAGGGTAACTCACGAGTAATAACTCCTTATGTGCAATATGACTGTGGTAGTATTCTTACTTGTGTTGGTTTGCATTATTTAGAATGGTGAAAGGAAGCTTCTATCTTTCCAAATATTGCTCAATGCATCCCTCAATATTGGCCATGCTGGCTGGGGCTATTAGGAGTTGTAGTTCATCAACATCTGGAGGGGGTTTCGCATCTGGAGATTTAGGCTCCTCCAGCAAATGTTCAAATGAATTTTTGTCAACAGTCCTTTTTCAAATATGAAGTGTAGGGCAACACTTGCTATTTCCAAACGTTTTTAATAGCCTGTTACAGTGAACATCCCTTGAGTAATTTAAAGGAAAGCTGTAATCTTGCTGGGCTTGGCATGAAACTAGACAGGGAGTCTTGCTAGGACAGGGAGGGGAAATCCCATCTCTTTCTGTACATTTCCATACTCTTTAGGTGCTTATTACAAAATGTCTCAGACTATAAAATGAATCATTAATATAAGGGTGAGGAAGACATTTGGTTTGCTGACAGCAGGAGAAAATATGAACAGGCTATAGTGATGCATTTCTTTGAGAGGAGAATGAATATTGATTCCAGCTTAAATTATGTTCCTGAGCCATTTCCTGACAAAGTCGGAGGGTCGTTTGCAGAGGGAGCAGCCCCGTGGGCATAAGGATACTCTCATTTCCCTCTACCTGAAAGTATCTGTAAAAATCTCTAATTCTGTGCCTTAATACTGATACTGACAAGTGACATACTGCAGGTTAAAAGGCATTTACTGTGAAATGTCATCATGCCAGAGTGATTGTTAGCCTTGTTCTGTGAAAAAAAAAGATTTTCCAGCATGTATGGATTGTATTAATGCTGAAAGTTGCATGCCTGTCCCTTATAATTCCTTGTGTGTACAATCACACTTGGACAATAAAGCTATTCTCTCCTCTCCTCTCCTCTCCTCTCCTCTCCTCTCTCCTCTCCTCTCCTCTCCTCTCCTCTTCTATTTATTCTATTCTAACCAAATCCTGGGTAGTGGGGTGTGACTCAGTTTGTATCAGATAGAACAGCTAAGGAAGAAAGACATCAGAGGTTATATGGGTATTTGTGGCTTTCATAGTAATTGTGACTTGGATACACACCCAAGCTGGTGTCTGGGCAAAAGCACCAATGAGCCATTTAGTTGAAGATTTTAGATGTATCTCCCAGGGATTCTGCAGATGTTTCCACCAAATTGTTGTTTTTCATGTGATAGAAGGGGACAAATTATATGGAAGCAATAGTATCACAACTGTATTTAAGCAGTATAAGTATAATTGTATTACTTCGCACGTTACTTTTGACTTGTGATTAGCCTCTCAGTTGTTAAGTGAGGAGAAGTATCTAGAGGGGATTACAAAGGACAGGACTATATAATCAGTTTTGAGGCACAAGAACAGCTTTGAACATTCTGTAATGAAAGCTGTTCTCTTTGGCTCCAGAAGCTGTTTTGGTTTGATGCTAGGAAATTCTTAGCCTTTCAAACTGCATTAAGGCCCTATTTTTTAGTTTACTTTTCTCCCACCTGGCAGGACTACGAACTGTTTGTGGAAGCAGTGGAACAGAACACCCTGCAGCAGTTCCTGAAGTTAGCCTGAGCCCGCTTCTTCCCTGCCCCACATGAAAACCTTCCTCCCCACATGAAAACCATCCGGGACTTGGAAATTCTGCATTCCAGATGGATCACCTCCCAAGTGATTGTCAGCTCTGCGTGACCAACCTCTTCTCCAACTGCCTCTGAATTGCATTCCCTCTTCCACTGTGGTCTCCAAAGACCGGTGGTGCATTCCCCTCGAATGCAGCTGGGCCCCTCTCCTCGTGCCTATGGGGTTAGACTGATGCTAATCTTCTAATTAAGGACCTTGGAAAGCGGAGCTTTCCCCTCCCCCCCACTTTTCTTTTCCAAGCTCAGGCTGCCCTTAGTATTGAAAGGGAAGAGCTGGTTGCTTCTTCCCTTCTTATCATCATACGTCCTTCAACGTGCAAATGTCAGTTCCTGTAGTTCCTTGTTCATTTTAACCCAGGAAAGAGAGCAGCAGACCTCTGCTCTTACCGGGATTTTTCTTGTCTAGCAATGCAAAAAGTGCTGCACGGGGGTTTTGTGCTCCCGTTGCCTTCTCCGCCAGCGGTTAATGGGGAGAGTGTGTGTGTGTATGTGTCTGTCTTACAGCATGGTGGTGTAGCTCAGCCTTTCTTAAAGTGGTTCTCCAGGGGGAGGCAAGAGCATTTCTCCTAGTCCATTAGTGCTTTTTTTCCTGGTGCCCCCATCTGGCAATGGAAAAAAAAAAACCGTCCCTGCTCCCCAAGAGGGGGAGGCAATTTCCACTCTATTTTAGCCTCAGCTGTTTCCTGCTTCCTCTTTTTTTTGGAACTGGCTTTTTGCAAACTTGGACCAAGTGCATTTTTTTTCCTTTTTTTATTTCTGAAAGTAAAAGTTACAAACAGCCATGTTTTTGTTAAGATGCCATTAAATATTGCTAAAAACCTCCATCCCAGTGGTTCTGTGTTTTTTTTAAATAAAAATTAAAAATGGTTTGGTTGGATGCAGAAGTTGGATGCTACTCCATTCATTTGAAAAACTATTTTCTAACTCTCAGCAACTTGGTTACTTTCATTGTATAGCTGGGCAATATTATCTTTTTTAAAAAAAAAATCCTAAGTGTGCGGGAAGAATGGCAGAAGTACAAAGAAGTGTTTGCCACAACTGCCTCCTACAGTGATTTGCATCTAAAATAAGATTTAGTGTTTGGGCTTTTTGTAACCATTTGTAATGTGAGGCTAAGTCATTGCACTATTTGGGGGTGTGAAAATTGTCCCCCATGTCTACAGTTTTTTCCCGAGGAAAGAGACTTTCCACAACATTTCTCTAGCACCTAAGTACGAGGCAATGTGCAAGGTTGCTTTTTGGTGAAACTAATGCAAAAAGGACAAGAAATAGATAAATACTTGAGAGCATTTCTCAAGAAGACCTTAATGCGTCCTACCTTCTTGCTTTAAGGGCCAATCGGCATCCTTCTCTTTGTCTCCCAGAGAGGAGGAGGTAGTAAGTAAATATAAAATGTCAGCTGTACTTCACAGTTGTACAAAAAGTTGCCCAAAAGAGTTCCCTTGTTCATGGTACATATTCATTCCCACCCCCATCTATACTAAGTGTAGGTGGGAAAGTCAGTTGGACTGGGGCTAAATTGGCTTACTACAATTTCCCTCTTGTATGCAGACAATGCTGCTTTGGTTACATACAGATAAACATTTGGAGAATGAGTCTATTGTTCATGGAGAGGAAAGGGGAGGAAAGAAACACACCTGATTACAATATGCAAAACCCAAACCCTGAATCATATTGGGCTTGGCTTGTTATGTAAATTCAATCAGTTAAGATACTATAGTTAAGCGTACCACAGTTAAGCAAATTTTGGCTGAGCGTACTGTATTAATGAGGGCATAGTCCAATGGGAATAATTTGGTGTGTTTATGGTCCAAATTGCATCACACAGAATACCTTCTAAAAATGCTGGTTGGAAACTCAGCATCGCTATTTTTAAACATCGGGGAGATTGGCACGGGGTCTTGAAAACCAGAAGACAACTTGCTGCTTTTTTGCAGGTGGGAACAATGGCAAAATACCTACTCTGGCATCCATAGATTCAGTGGAGTATTATGCTTACCACATCTGTTCTGTAAAAATCCAGATGACGCCGACACGGCAGCCATCAGCCCCGAATCAATAGCCCTAAGAGTTACCACCATTTGTCAAATTTTATGGATCCATGGCAGCAGGCAATTTTAGTGATTAGAGACATATTCTTGTGACAATGAAGCATTTGTCCACGGCTCTTTCTGGGAAGATCCCACTTGAGTTGACTGCAAGCATCTTACGTGTGTAGCATGTGCTTAGTAAAAGTAAGTTGTGCTGGAACATTTGTGGTTTAGTAGCACCAAGAACTGATTTTTAAAGTTCAGAAAAAGCCTTTAGCCTATCTTTCGTAATCAATATATTTCTGCAACTTTGGGGCAGGCTTAGGAGAAATGGTAAATGTTTTAAGATATTCCTCCTGGTCAGAAGAGCCTTGCACACAGAGCTCATGAGCTTATATAATACCATACCACTATAGATGCCGTTGCTGGCAAAATGTGCTTTTAATTATTAAAGCCTTCTATTTGCTCATCTAGCTTTCTGCATGAAAAGAACTGCTGCTACAAAGGTGGGGGGGATCGTAATGCATAATTCAATCCCTACCCTGATATAATTCTGGAAGGTCCAAACCCCAAGGGAGGAAAGACAGCAGAAGACTTGGATGCCGAAGGAATCCAGCCTGCCTTCTTTTGAAGCTCTACAAAGATCCTATTCGAAGGTGCCCTTTGCTTAATGCTTCACGTCTTCATCCAAATAGACTTACACACAGGGAAATTAACCAAAAAATGGGACCCCGTGGGCACAAAACTAGTGACAACAGTAAGAAATAAGCTTACTTTGGGACTTAAATGAACAGGCTATCTGGATACTTTGTGTTAATTAACAGCCACAATGAGTAATAAAAGGGTTAGTTAGGTAAGTCATAAAAAAAGCGCTTTCTGTTGAAGGATAAGAGAAACAATGAGAAGGAAGTTGGCTGGAACCAGCTGTATTATTGCACTAAGCCACTCCCACTCAACGCCTATTCAGATACGCTGATTATTCTCATCATCTCCCAGCTGGAAGAACCAAAAGACAATGAAGTAGGGGGGAGTCGTGACATCCAGAGAGACACAACTGAGGAAAGCTGTGAGCCCTTGCAGCCACAGCTCTTCCAGGAAAAAAAAAAATAGCTGGACCGCTCTGGTCCTCCTTTGCTTCAGGTACTTGTCTGCTCCATACATTAACTCTGTCCAAAGGGAGAAAGCTCTCCCCACCAGGGGTCTCCAAACTTGGCAACTTTAAGCCTGGCGGACTTCAACTCCCAGAATTTGGGGAGCTTTGCTGGCTGGGGAATTCTGGGAGTTGAAATCTGCCAGGCTTGACGTTGCCAAGGTTGGAGAGCCTTGCTCCCCACCCCCACCCCCAGTCCCCTTTGATGATTTTCAGGATGTCCTTAATAGATTAGAACCAGGGGTGGGATTCAAAAATTTTAACAGCTGGTTCTATGGGCGTGGCTTAGGTGGTGGGCGTGGCTTGGTGGTCATCTTATTGGCTGGGTGTGGCCAACTCAACATCACTCACATCGAGGCACGCATCTCCTTGCCTGGCCTCTTGTGACTGTGGGGATGCTGCAACAGTCGTAAGTGTGAAAAATGGTCATAAGTCACTCTTTTCAGTGCCATTGTAACTTTGAATGGTCACTCCACACAAGCAAAGTACCAGCAAAGGACGAAAAAAAAAAACTCCAGAGAAGTTCCAGAGACAGGAAGTCTAGTCCTGTCAAGAATGTAATAAGGGTTAACGGAGAGGCCCTTTCTGTAAGCAACACCAGAATGTTTCCTTCCTGCCTTCCTTACAGGATTAGGCCAGTAATTTCTTCTAACAATCGGTTCTCCGAACTGCTTAGAATGTTAACAACCGGTTCTAGCGAATAGGTGCGAACTGCTAGAAACCCACCCCTGCTTAGAACAGGATCCAGAAATGTCCACCTTTCCTGCTTATGATTTACAACGTTGGAGTACAAAGAAAATGAAGGCACATCTTGCCCCCCTGGGGGGGGGAGGGGAGGCCGTGATGCCCCAAATGGGTATTGTGTTTTACAAAAGCTTTACCATGCTCAAGAAGGTGCCAACTGGCATTGACTGCCCAACTGTTTTTCTTGCGGAAATAGACTGACATTCCTAAAGGAATGGTAATAAAGGCCAGTTTATTTTAGTTCCTTTCAGGATGGGTAGAATGAGGCAAATAAGGCAAATAAGTCTTTACCTCTGTCAGGATCAGAAATTAAAGTGTTGCATAAAGCTCTATGGCTAGCTGGGGAATTCTGGGAGTCGAAGTCTGACAGAATATTCATGAACTGGCAAAGGCATGGTAAACAAGGTCAGCCAATGAATAGGCATAGCAACTACGTCAGCCAATGTGGACTTTTTGGAAACTGAAACTGGAAGGAGCTTGGGCGTGGCTCTGTATTAAGCTCTAAAGGTACAAACTAGTCTGCAACTCTGAATCAAAACCGAAACTCTTCTCTCCTCTGCTTGTTTTTTGCCTGTAACTGCTGCCACATAGGAAAATCTGCCATTGGTATTGTATATTTACTTCATGTGTTATTATGTATATAAAGAAGTTAATGAATCCTGTTGAATCGGTGATCTGTGTGTGTCTGTCCGGATCTGATTTTCTGCAACAAACTCTGACAAAGTCCACATAGTTTAATGTTGCCAAGCTTGAGAAACACTGCACTATATCTGAACCATTCAACTTCCTTTAGTTTGCCCTGGCTTGTTTACTTAGGGGATGGGGGTGGGGGTGGGGGGCAGGAAGGCAGAATACAGTGGCTAGTTCTAACCCGTGTAGCTGGAACTACAAGTTTTACTTGTTTCCATCCTGGACCTGCTCTCATACAGTTAGACCTTTGGTTCGTATACCTTGGAGAAGGAGAAGAAGGCACACAACGTCCTAGCTGAACGGCAGCCAAGTCTGATGCATCATCTACTGTGATCCATTACAGCTATTCCCCGCCTGCTTTGGTAGGAGAGAGTTTTTTCCTCAGCAGAAGAAATGCATTGGGGACCAGCCCACATTCCTCCAGGCTCGCAGCATCGTTGTTATACACCTGCAGGGGAAATGTGCTGAGGATCTCATAGGGCTGCAGTGCTTCACCCCTAGAAAAAAGCAGAACCAGGTTTGTAAACAGACTCACTTCACACCTGCCAACTTTTCCAATCTGGTGGCCTTTCTGAATTCAGTTTTAGGCAGTTCAGAGTTGATTTTATTTTTCAACTCAAAAATTCAATTATAGGTGATCCTCAAGATATGACCACAACTGAGCTCCCAATTTCCATTACCGAGCAAGACACTTGTTAAGTGTGTTTTGCCCCATTTTACGACCTTTTTACCACAGTTGTTAAGCAAATCACTGCAGCTGTTAAGTAAATGGTGTGATCATTAGATCTGGCTTTCCCCATTGACAGTAGCTGGCGGGGAAGGTTACGAATGGCGATCACGTGACAGCGCAACTTTCAGAAATGCATGCTAAGTGGCCAAGCAACTCAATTTTGATCACATGATCCGTGGGATGTGCAACAGTATTAAGTGTAAAAAATGATCATAAATTACCCTTTTCAGTGCCTGTATATTCCAGATTTATTGGCTATCTATTAAATCAGTTTGAAGGAAAAAGATTATCAGACCAATAAATCCCTTTTGGATATTACTTTGCCAAATTTCCAGTAATACTACTATCTTGTGGAGAACTGCTGTTCCAGTGGCCCAGTTTCAGAAAAAATGCAGCTTTTATTTTTGTAGGAAAAAAAAACATTTGGGAAGGAAGTTTATTTCCAATCAGTCATCAAACAAGAAAAATAATACTATGCCATTGCAGGCACATGTAAGGGAAGAAAAGAGGATAGCAGACTACCTTTTAGATGGAAGGAAGTTTAAGAAGAGAGATCGTGAGAGTCATGCAAGTCAGGCCACCCAAAAAGTTGGGTTAACAATCAGACAATGGCTAGTGCTTGATGGCGCTGGCTGAGACTCTTGATGACCAGTATAATCAATCCTAGTTTCTCAGTAGGAGAATTATAGTTACTGGATGTGAAAGTAAGTGGGCCTCCAGGCATCCTCTCCAACCTAACACTACCTGGATGAATTGGGTTTACATTTTCAAGAACCTGAGGACCCAGATTGTTGGGGGCAATATGCTGACTGTGTAAAACCGCTTAGAGAGGGCTGTAAAGCATGTGAAGCAGTATATAAGTCTAAGTGTTATTGTTAACTTCTTTGGTTGGGTTGATGAGGAATTCTGGGAGTTACAGTTCTGAGACATTTAGATGACCAACCCAGATCAACTGTTTGTAAACAAATCCTCTGTATCTATATTTTGAAAGTCCCTGGTCAACAAACATTTATTCTCCGCTCCGCTCCACTCCACTCTGTAGAATCCATAAAGATTTCTGTCTCTGCATCACCCAAATCTTCTGACTCATGACTGAAACGCAGAGCTTCACAGACTGTGCCAACCTCTTAAATTCCAGAATGCTTAAGTACTGTATTTCTACCTGAATCTGACTGAAGCACTCACAGGGATCTGACAGCCAAACAAAGCTTACCCTTCCTAACCAAATGATGAACAAAGGATATCTCAGCCAACCAGTGCTCAGCTCGTAATCAGGAAGAGAAGGCATTATCCTACCTCCTTGATTTTATGCTGAAAACAAATCCTCTTCCTTTCTTTCCAAGATAGCAAGTCATAATAAAATGCCTCCATTTATGGCTTGCAAACAACTATTTCTCATTTGCCCCAAATATTGAGGTTGCAGTGGGAGGAAGCCAGGATCTAGTGAAATGGTTAGCACTTAGGAACAACATAAACCAAGCTGCAGGAGACCCAAGTTTGTTTCAGGTGTGGCTCTGAACCCATGCTTAAATACTCCCAGGGCTCTTTTATTTCTTGAGATTACACTTGGCAAGTCATAAGTTTAAAATGCAAAAAATGGGAGAGAGCTTGTTTTTCAGTTTTTCAAGCCGATGTTTGCCACAATTAGTTAGCATCCTTCTCAAATTTGGCCGGACCATCATTCTTCCTACCTGTTCTGAGCAAGATGTTGTCGCAAGTCTCCAATGGTCTCTGTGAATGACATTTTGACAATGTATGTCTTCTCTCCATCCTCTGACTTTATGCGGAGAGTTGAAATGTTGGTGCCAGAACACTCTGTCTTCTGCTTCCCTTCCAGTCTAAGAGTTAAAGGGAGATGGTGATGGAAACGATGGCTTCTCTAAGGAGGCCAGAATAACCCAGGCAGACCCAGGTATGTGTGAATGATCACCCCTTTTATAAAATAGATACAGGCTGTCCTAACATTCTCCAAATGTATTGAATCTACCATTTCCCAGAAAGCAGAGCTTTCAGTCATGCTACAGTCCCAACACACATTGACTGAAGAAGGCTACTGTATATTTTATTTACCTTATGCTGGTTCTAGTTCTGGCAAACAAATACTTAGCATCCACAATCCATCACTCCAGCATGCAAAACAGTCTCAGGGAAAACAGTGGCCTGCACGTGTCGGGGGGAAGGGAGTCACTAAATTATAAAATATGGGAGACTTGGCTTCTCAGGAGTGATCAGGTGCATAATGAGATTAGGATGGAAAAGGAAGACAAATCATAAATTCAGCTTACTTAATGGGGTTGGTTATCGAGCCTGGCATGCAAACACCTCAAAACTGTTGAGGAAAAGGAGTCAACCTTTTGTTAAAAGTGCTCCCAATTCTTTCAGATTTGCTTGTTGGATTGATTGCATTATACAAGCTGTCCTCTGAAAATGATAGAGGAGGATGTACAAAACAGGGGGAAAAAAGCCAAAACGAACACTAACATTTCTTTTTCACAAAAAAGATTTTGGCAATGTCACACAAGATTTATGTTCTTATAAAATCAGGGATAAGGAAAGAGATGGATTCAGACCTCCAAACGGATTCACTGAAGTCCATTTTATCTACACTGACTAGCAACATCACCTTCCATGGTCTCAAGCAATTCATCATCTCCATTCTGGAGACACCAGAATCATATCTCAGGGGGTTCCATATATAAAACATGGCCTTGATCACTGTGAAACACTGTGCTCCTGGTGCTACTCCAGCTTTGGATTTCTGCCATAACAAGACGCAACGAGGGAAAGAACCGATGAAGATTCCAGAGGCCTGTTTACCTCTTCCTCAGTGCTGTAAGGCTGGGCGTCTCCACCAAAACTACTTCGTGGCTTTGTGCTCCATCCAGGCCCTGGAAGCAAAGAGGGAAATGTAGGCCAATGTTCAAATGCCCTAAGAGACATTAAGTCAGATGACAGCCTTCTGGTCAACCAGCCCACACATTGCAAAGATCAGAAAGAAAGGAAGCTTTCTTTACTAGAACTATTTCAAAAAGAACAAGAAGGCTTGGTAATAATTCTAAATAGCTTTTTTAGATCTCAGTTGTTATTTGTTTTTGGGTTTTTTGGGAGCTTTGAAGAAGGGGTTGCAAAATTAGACAGCATCTTACCTGAAGGGTCTTTTTAAGATCTTCCCGGATATCTATCACTTGCCCGTCTCGAACCAGTGACTTTGGAAGTTTGTTCAAAAATTGTTCCATGGTGAGCTTGGGACCTGCCAAAAGAAAGGATTTCATGAGCAGATGGGGTATGTGAACAATGACAAAGCCATGCTGAGGTTTCATTTTAATTAACTTAAATGTCTATAGGTTTCTTTCCTGGGCAAAATCCTCTCAAATATAGGTGTATTAAAACCACCCACAATTGTATGAGAAACAGAAGGAGGGAGCTTGAGTTCCTGAAAATAGTTGGAATATACATCTAATACAGAAACATAGATTTTGAGCACAAAAGGGAATTCCAGTAGTCAAGGAGTGAAGCTCTTATTCGATATGATCTACAGCTATTGTACATTCTTTTTCAACCTTTCTTATGTCTGATTATTGTAGCTATCTGCACAAACAACACAAGCATCTACTGTAAGTGGACATTTTCAACAGTGCCTCCTTAACTCAGTACATGTAGTCCTCGACTTATGATAATTCAGTCTCACATTTTTGTTGTGAAGTGAGACCCATTTTACCCCTTTTTTTGCCACAGTTGTGAATCATTGCTGTTGTTAAATTAGTAACACAGTTGTTAAGTGAAGCTGGCTTTCCCATTGACTGCGCGAAAAACAATCACGTGACCCCAGGAACTGCAAGAGTCATAAATATGAGTCAGTTGCCAAGCTTCTGAGATTTGATCACGTGACTATAGGGATGCTGCAACAGTCATAAGTGTGAAAAATGATCATAAGTCACTTTTTTCAGTGCCGTTGTAACTTTGAACGGTCACTAAATGAATTGTTGTAATTCAAGGACTACCTGTATTTATCTAATGAATGAGATACCCAGGTTACAATTAGCATGATATTATCTGGATACAACCCACTTAAGCTCTAAGCATAAAATAAATGGTCCTATGCAAAGAGGATGCATGCCAACCTAGCAGTTCGAAAGCATGTAAAAATGCAAGTAGAAAAATAGGGACCCCTTTGGTGGGAAGGGAACAATGTTCCATGCGCCTTCGGCGTTTAGTCATGCCGGTCACATGGCCACAGAGACGTCTTCAGACAGCGCTGGCTCTTTGGCTTTGTAATGAAAATGAGCACTGCCCCCTAGAGCCGGAAACGATTAGCACGTATGCGCGAGGGGAACCTTTACCTTTAGGAATCTGGTACCCTCCAGATGTGTTGGCATCTGGGAATTAATGGGAGTTGCAATCCTCTACACAACTTCAATGCTCAACAGCAGGGAAGGTGGGGACAAGCTTGAATAGCAGAACAAACTAATAAAGAGGTATTTGTAGCACCAAACTCAAACCGCATTCCTGGAATTGCTGAATCTGCAATAGACACGTACAACCACTGGAGTTGGGTGGCTGATACATTTGAATAAAAACAAACCAACCATCACCTGAGATTTCATTTGTCTCCTTTATGCCACTTGGTTTGGAACGCCCAACAGCCTGGCCATAGCCAGGAAAATACCCTGGCAGTTTCCGTTCTTGAAAGGAGACATCCCTCCTGTCGGTGACCTATGGAATAAATCCCGTTGCTGTTAAGTACCCTGTTGGATTCCAGACTCCAGAGGTCACTGTTAGACTAAAAAGCAGATGAAACTGGATGTTAGTAGCAATAACAAATGCTATGGAAACAACCTCTTCCTTCTTCTGTCAATATTCAAAGGAAATACCACATTTCAGACACCAGAAATGTAAGCACACCTGATAACACCCCATTATAGGAAACCAACAAGGAGTTGCCTTGCACATAATGAACTGAACATTATGACACAATAAATATATTGTTCTTACAAAGGAAGTTATAGAATGAATGCAAAATAAGAAGTGTTAGAAGCCAACCATGGCAGATATCTAGTAATAATCAAGATGCTCAAATAATTAAAATGCATTTTCTCCATTTATTTAAAAAACAAGGACTTCTCATTCGTCTTTCCCACACCACATATCACTAGATTTTAATTCTCACACAACTATAAATATCTGAACACTTAAACTATGGTATTTTACAGGTGTATCTCTAAAGAAATCTCCTTGAGCTCAATTGAAATTGAGTCAGATGTTTGGAAATGAATGCTGATTACAGTAATGGAAACTGGCAGAGAGAACTTATTCAAAGTTTGATTGATTTCTTAATTCTGTTTTCTTTCACTAGTCTTACATAACCTCAAATCCTGATAAAATCAACAGAATTAGTACAAAACGACAGATCACCTACATTTTTCAGCTACTGTGGAGAGAACATTTATCTTTCTTTCTCGTGGTCTTTTAGGGGGAAACCATGAATATATTCCAGACATTATGAACAGAAAAAAGTTTCATTTCATAAATGAGTAACTATCTGACAGGCATTTGCAACAGTGATACCACAATCCAATTATATCATGTATCCTGCAGCTAATCCTCAACTTATGACCACAAAATGGAACTCGAATTTCCATTGTAAAGCAAGAAGGTTAATTGAGACACACGCAATTTTACGCCCTTTCTTGCCATGATTATTAAGCGATTCGCTGCAGTTGTTAAGCAATTCACATGGTCACTAAACAAACCCAGCTTTCCCCATTGTGGGCTTAAGGAAAGTTGCAAAGGAAGAATCACTTGACTTTGGGTGGCTGCAACTGTCATAAATACATTCAGGTTGCCAGGTGTCCAAATTTTGTTCCCTTGACTGTGGGGATGCTCTGAAGATTGGTCACAAGTAACTTTCACCACTCTTGCACACAAGTAACTTTCTTCAATGCTGTTGTGACTTCAAACGGTTGCTAAATGAATGGTTATAAGTCAAGGACTAACTGCATCACACACACACACACACACACACACACACACACACACACACACTAGCTCCGTGGTGGCAAACCTATGGCACATGTGCCAGAGGGGGCACACAGAGCCCTCTCTGTGGGCATGCATGTCATTCCTGGATGCTTTTCTGTTTTCTGGCGCACAGAACTCTCTCTTTGGGCATGCGTGCTGGCCATCTGATCTTCACGGGTGCCATAGTGCCCCAAAATGCCCCCCCAAAACAGGCAGTTTTCAGGCTATTTTTGGCCCCAAAAGTGACTTGAAAATGGTCCAAAAACAGGCAGTTTTCAGGCTATTTTTGGCCTGAAAAATGGCCTGAAAATGCCCCCCAAAACAGCCTGAAAATGCCCCCAAAACAGCCCCCAAAAGAGTAAAAAAAGACCATTTTCAGGGTATTGTGGCCTGAAAATGGCCTAAAAACACCCTGAAAACGGCCTGAAAAATGTTCTGAAAACTACCCCACAAACAGCCTGAAAACGGCCCCAAAAATGGCAAAAAATGACCCAAACCCAGGCAAGCACGCACTGGCACACACACATGCACACGCATGCACACACTTTCCGGTTTGGGCATTCAGTGCCGAAAAGGTTCGCCATCACTGCACTAGCTATTGCTTTGGCTTCTCCTGAGCTGAGGCAAAATATAACCAGAGCCCTCCTTAGCGGAGGTAACCTATATTTCCAGGACCCAAAAGGTGTTTTTCGAAAGGCTTTTTTGGTTTTTCTTTTTGGACTTTTTGGTTTTTCTTTTTGGACTTTCTGGTTTTTCTTTTGAAAAGACGTTTCACTTCTCATCCAAGAAGCTTCTTCGGCTCTGACTGGAGGGTGGAGAGTGGGATTGGTGGAGAATGGCATTCCAGGCTGACCGACTTTGCATTCTGAGAGGAAGGGGAACTGCATACTTGGAAGCCTCATTCATGAAAATAGAAGCGACACAATCGCTTTGCATCGTAGAGACCCCAATAAATATTTAGTTTGCTGGTCTGATGCACCTCTGACCAACCCTTTCTACAAAAAAGACCTCACTCTGTGCTCTCTACATCCAGTGGAGATATTGGGATAATAGGAGCTGCAGTCTAAGACAGGGGTCCCCAAACCTGGCAACTTTAAGACTTGTGGACTTCAATTCCCAGAATTCTCCAGCCAGCATAGCTTTATGGACCGGTCTAAGTACCACTACTTCAGAACTGTGGCAAATCCAAGCAGCCTTGGAATGTCCTTGAGTTTTAATTTTATTGGAAAAGCTTCTTCTATATCAGAGGTCTCCAAACTTGGCAACTTTAAGATTTGTGGACTTCAACTCCCAGAATTCTCCAGCCAGCTTTGCTTAATTGAAGTCCACAAATCTTAAAGTTGCCAAGTTTGGAGACCTCTGGTCTAAGACTTCAAGAATGCACCAGAATATTGGTGACTTTGCTACTCTCTGTTTCCTCCAGTCTGTATTTCCTCTCTAGAGCTAACCAAGCATTCATTTTCAGGGCGCACACCCCAACCGTCAACTGATAAAAGAGCAGATGTTTTCCTCAGCAGTCACCAGCCCAATGTACACATGGGCTGGTTTTAGAAACAGTGGCCCACGTTTCCCCTTTTTCAACAAGGCTTTCCCATGCATCTCTAAATAATGAAAGTTTATAAATGTAATAAAATTTTCCCACACTCTTGGGTATGAGGCACATAAATACTCTACCTAAATGAGGCTTATCTCTTAACAAGGATCAGTAAAACAACGTGTTTTATTTATTCTAGCAATGTTCTAGCTGATAATATGTTCAAGGAAGTTCAAAAATAAATTCCAGGCATCAGTAAATGGCCTTACAATTTTCCTCCCTTGCCTGAAACTTGCTGAGTGTCTAAATTGTGCCGTCTCTTTGATGTACTGTACTGTCTTTCAAGAGACAGGGAGGGGTACATTTGTTAAATAAAACACGTTCTAGGACATTATTCAGATCTTCAATCCTACTTTTGTGTAACGTATACATTTCTTTGTTCAAGGCAGGACAGGGTACCAAAAATTTCAGGACCACACGGAGCCCCTCCAAAGTGGTTTTCTCTGGGCTACCAGAATCTGCTGTGAACAAAATGGACAGGATGGTTTCCTGCCCTTTTGAGATGGGGAACACAAATCTTGTAGACCAGAGTAAGATTTAATGCAGACTGAATACAGTATAAAATAAAAATAAAAACCCTCCCAATCCCTAAACTGGAAACTCAAAAGCTCACAGCTCTGCTCACATAGAGCTGTATATGATATAGAACAGGTGTCCCCAGACTTGGCAACTTTAAGACTTGTGGACTTCCAACTGCCAGAATTCTCCAGCCAGCAGAGCTTCAATTCTGGGAGTTGAAGTCCACAAGTCTTAAAGTCAATGAATACTTCAGCTTCAACCATAACAGCACAAGAGCAAACAATAGATACAAACTCAAGGTTAATCGCACCAAACTTGATTGCAGGAAATACGACTTCAGCAACAGAGTGGTCAACGTCTGGAATACTTTACCTGACTCTGTGGTTTTTTTCCCCAAACCCCAAAAACTTCAACCTTAGATTGTCTACTATTGCCCTCACCCCTTTCCTAAGAGGTCTGTAGGGGGCGTGCATAAGCGCACCAATGTGCCTATTGTCCCTGTCCTATTGTTCCTTTTATATATATTTTTATTTTTCTTATATGTATCTATTTATTCATAACTATGTTTTTACTTATACCTATTATCTTGTAAGCAATTGACAAATAAAAAAAATAAAATAAAGTTGCCAAGTCTGGAGACTTCTGATATAGAAGGAGCTTTTCCAATAAAATTAAAACTCAAGGACATTCCAAAGCTGTTTAGATTTGCCACAGTTCTGATGTAGTGGTACTTAGACTAGTCCATAAAGTTCTAGCTGTTGCAGCATCTGTGATGGAATGTAAGAAGTTAAGAATGATATTGGGGAAAGAGAGGAGGAGATGCTACCCGGGAAACAATTAGACAAGAGAGGCAGGAACCTGCAGCCCCTTAACAGAGAAAGAAACTTAGGAAAAGACCCGCATTAACAAATCAAGTAGTCAAAAATGGAGCCAAATTTAGGCCTTTGGATTTGCAAGAGCTTTACAATAAAGTAGAATTAGTTTTGCCATGTTTCATGTCTGGTTTATGTGGGAGGATTGGAGTGATTGTGGGTGAGGGCGTGGGTGGTGTGATTGAAAATGGAGCACTCAAGCAACCAGCTCAGACTCCTGACTGTCACAACATGCCATAGTCATGTGATCATGACTAGTCATGTGATCATGATCATGCAAACTTCCCTATTGGCTTTCCACGGAACAAGTCAATGAGGAAGCGGGCAAGAAATTGGAAGTCGTGGTCACAATCTGTGCAATTCTTTCTTAAGAAAGGTAACCAGGGGCTACTGCCAGAACTACTGTTGCTAAGCTATGTGGTCACACAATGAGACTGGTCTGTTTTCAAACTCCACCAGGTAACAAGAGGGACAGCCTAGCTGTAATAAAGTTACTTCTTTAAGAGTCAGTTTAGCATCTTTTCTTCAGCAGTTCTATGTAGGATGTTTAATAAAATACATATAACTTGCCAATTTTGCCCCGTGGCCCCAGTTCTGTTAAATTCATCCTATATATGTTGCAATATTACTTCTTTTATGCACACAGACAGAAAAGCTTCATATTTTTATTGTTCGTTGATCCAGGTCAAGCTGGATTTTTGCTTTTGAAGGACAGCAGCAATTAATGTTTGCAAGCCATTGAGTTTGATATAATGAACAACCTTCAAAGGATCTCTTTAGGCTTTTTTGTACTTTTGGTATACAAATGATATTTTACTTTTATTTGGGGCTTGATTTCAATAAATAAAATTGTATTTGTATGTATCTTGTGATAATTATAAAACAAAGAAACTACCTTTCACATTGCTTGCTTTGTTAAATTGGCAAATGTATAGCTAGGCTACAGTAGCACTTTGCCAATCTTCACTAATCTAAAAAAAAAGAGTAAGCATTTGGTAAACCTAGATCATATTTGGATGAGGGATCATTTATTACACTAAGAAACTGAAGGCAATTTATACAGATTCCTACAATTCAACTGTACTTATCTTTTCTCAAATTAAAAAAAATCTATTTGCTGTTTAACTTTTTTTGTTTCCAACTTGTGGGTTTACCTTTTTTCCATTCTTCATAAAGAAACTATCCTATTAATCTCCAGAGTTAAACTGTATTTTTATTTATTGCTTTTAAAAAAAAAATACATTCTGATCTTTGTTGTAAATTACTCTGGTAAAGATTTTTTTTTGAGAGCCAATGTGCTTTTCATGTTTCCAGTATTTTTTTTTCTCTGTTGCTTCCCTCAGTCACATAATGAGAATCTAAACTAATTTTTCTAACAGAATTTGATCTTGTCAGCCTTCATGATGCTGAAATATCCAGTGGTATTCTTAAACTATTTACCTACTGAAAATACCTTTTAATTTAATTTTAATTAGTGGAAATTGCTACCACTAGTAGATGATTTTTGAATTTTATTATCTTTATTTTAAAAATAAAACAGTATTTTTAAAAAGGAAATTTAAAGAAATGCAAACTAAGAAGGAAAAGGAAAAAAGAAACCTAACATAAATAGAATTGCTTTAAAGCAAAAATACAGAAATGACAATTAAGCTCTTTTAAAGAAGGTTTTATGAGAAAAATTGTTCCAGTTTCTGATACAAGAAGCATTCTCAGTTCTTCAAACAGACTGAAAATTTAAAAAAAACTTTCACAGCTTGCAAAAATATTCAACAAAAACCAATTGTCTGTTGTTTGAATGAAACAAAAATTAGGTATAATAACTTGACCAGAAAGTATTCTATCCATAGGTCAGTGACACTTCAACACACCTCATAGAAGCTGTGCTGATTGTACGGATCCGTTATCATAAAACCACAGAATCAACACAGTATTAAGTTGCAGTGGAGTATCTTTTTGCAGGCATTATGACCTCAGAATTTCAATTCTGGAGTGACAAGAAACCCAGAGTTCAAAAACAGGAAGCTATAAAGATATACCTGAAATGGGACACCATTGGGGTAACGACTTTGCAGCTCAGAAGGGAAAAAGCCATCCATGATATCTTGCAGGCAATGCTGAAACCACAACAGAACCAACTCATTAGATTTCCCCCATAATGACATAGCAACCACAATGGAGAAAAATTCAATTATTTGCCTGTTGACAGCTTATCTATTTCCGTTTATGTATTCCCTTTTTATCAGGGGGTTAACACAGAAAATGTTTATTGTTCCCCACCATTAAAAAAAAAAGAAATTAAATAGGTCAACATTTTCTGTGGGAACATCTGCATTTAGTAGCAATGGCAGACAGGGAACAGCCTGATTGAAAAGAACAAACCAAGCAATCTCAAGAAATGCAGACTTGGACATGAGAAGACCAATGAGTGACCCAGTCTGAAACTAGCCTTGGATACTGAGTACCTGGTGGAACGTGCACATCCCTTTTAGAAAGTGATTAAGTGGAAATCCAGGAAAAGCTAGGCCAGTCAGCCTAGCAACTGTTAAAGGTGAATTGGTAGAAATGGTAATAATTTTAAAAAAATTAAGCATACAGAACAAAGATTTTCTTCTGGAAAGAAAATCAGAATACAAAGGAAACTCCTGCCCCATCCTGGTTTTTTTTTTTTTTAGATTTTGAGTATCAACAGGACATGGATGAAAGTATCTCTGTTAATTGGTGAATACAGGATAACAGGACTAGGGAGCACTGAATATATTTTCTCCATATAAAAATGTCAAATCTAGGTAGACATAAAATGGAGTAGTTCATCAAGCGTCTTAACTACAATTTTCAGCCAATAACTAACTTATTTATCATAAGTATCAATTCATAAAATATTTCTCTGGTCTTTTTAGTCGCCAACAGAAAGGGAGGGGGAGCAGTGCAGCAGTTTGCAAATGTTTGCATTCCATCAATGTTTTCATAGATAGTAACTAGGTGACCGAAGTTTCTGCCACGCAAAATTCTAACTGGAGAGCATGATTGATGACTTGGCTATGGATGTGTCCCACTAGAAAATATTAATTATGATACACCCAGGGGGTGAGGGAAAACCAGGATCAAGGGTGACAATGAATTATGTGTCTCAGAGTCGGCTAAACCCAGGCAGTGCTGGACATGTTAACTCCCAATAAATCCTTTTAAAGTTTTGGAAGTCTGGCCTCCAAAACTTCCAACTCATGATTTAATTGGGGTAACTGCCGGAATCCTGACAGTAAGACAACAATAATATGAGAGCCAGTTTGGTCTAGTGGTCAAGGCACGGAAAGCCAGGAGACTATGAACTCAGGTCCTGCCTCGGCCATGAAAGCTAGCTGGGTTAGGCTGAGAGTCACACACTCTCGGCCCAACCCACCTCACAGGGTTGTTGTGGGGAAAAGAGGAAGAGGGAGATGTGTTGGATATGTTCAACACCTTGACTTATTTGCAAAGGTAATAAAAATGGGATACAAATAAATAAATGAAATAAATGAAAGAAGCGACTTAATTTGTATACATTGCAATATCTTTCTGGGGAGACTTTAAATGTCACACCAAATTCTAGGATTTGCATGTGGTGAAGACCCCAGACAGCTTGGTTATTGTGGATGGGGAACTGCAACAGGCTGAAAACAAGAAGCAGCTTCCATTCATGGCAGATGTCCAATAAATGAACTTGAAATACTGTGAAGGCAACATGTAGATTCTTGTGTTTGTCTCAAAAAGAAAGGTCGTCAGCAAGAGGGCACTTTACAGTTCATTTTCACTTCCTCCAACTCCCTTTCAGAATGAGAATCAACAGGACTCGGCTGTTTAAACGTGAAACTTTCCAGTTGAAAGGGGCAAACAAATGAGAAGTAATAATACCTTGTTTTCTATAATTTCTCATTTGGCAATGTAAGAGAAATAAAGCCTGCTTTGCTCTCAGCCAAAGCTCCATATCCCAATACTGGAACCCTTGTTTTCAGAAGTCTCTGGAGAGAGACAGACAGATTGTGCGAAATAAGCCACAGGTGGAAAGGAAAGGTGCTTTTTCCCACACATTACCTTTTAAAATCAGTACCCCAGCAGGAGTTCTCTTTCATGATTTGTGATGCATTCAAATAGCCTATGACAGGGCTCCCCAAAATTGGCAACTTTGAGACTTGTGGACTGCCCAGAATTCTGAGAGTTGAAGTCCACAAGTCTTAAAGTTGCCAAGTTTGGAGGCCTCTGGCCTAGGACACCAGCTAGGCTAACTGTAAATGAAGATAGATTTGGCTTTCAGAACGGAACAGCGAACCATTAAGGGAGAAGAAAAAACTTTTCAGTCCTAGAAATGGCTTCTTCATATTATTATGAAAAAGCAGAAAGTTGTGATTGGGCAGGGCGCACACAGGAGCCATGTGCGCGTAGGCGGAGGGTGGCGCGTGCATGCGTGGGGGAGGGGCACATGCGCAGGGTGCACATGCATTGCATTTTGGGAATACGCACACGCTCGCTTTGGGCACTTGGTGCTGAAAAGGTCAGCCATGACTGGTTTAGGGTCTCCTGCTTGAGAAGGGGGTTGGACTGGAAGACCTCCAAGGTCCCTGTGCTGTTATTCTCTTCTGTTAACTTCTGCAGTATTTCGGCTACCCAATCCGCTTCAGCTGGAATCCTCCTTTTCTTTTCTCTAATTGGACAGTTGCTAAATCAATATTCTTCTCAATAACTTCTCCATATCTTATTATCCCATTTCCCTTTCTGTGCTGCTATTTTGAGTCTCCAGTGCTTCCTTTTTGTTTCATGTTTCCCTACCAAGTTCTGTATTCTCTTTTGTTTTCCCTCTCAAGCATGGTCATCATCATCAACAATAATATTACACAACCCTTCTTTCTGGGACACAAAATTACACACCAGGCACTATTTATGTTGGAAACTGCTTATTCCAAGGCTGAACTTTCAGAGATGTATGCCTAAGCCCAGCATGGAATAAGTGTGGTTCCACATCAGTTTGACAACTAAATGTTGCATTCAATTAACTTTATTACAGTCATAGACCAGAGACCAGAACAAATAAAAACACTCAGTAAATATACAATTAAAATTTTTAGTATAAAATAATAAATAATAACTAAAATATATGATAAAATCCAGTCTGGATTTTTATCCATGCATAACTATATTAAAATTACAATCCATAAACTGTGTGGCCTGTGGTCAGTTTAATACTAAAGGGGAAAGAAATAAGCAGCGCAAAGGTTTGCCACACTTGTTATATAACATAACTATGGCGGATTGGGGACAGGGTGGCTCAGTGGCTAAGTGGCTGAGCTTGTCGATCAGAAAGGTTGGCAGTTTGGCGGTTCGAATCCCTAGCGCCGCGTAACAGAGTGAGCTCCTGTTACTTGTCCCAGCTTCTGCCAACCTAGCAGTTCGAAAGCACGTAAAAAATGCAAGTGGAAAAATAGGGACCACTTTGGTGGGAAGGGAACAGCGTTCCGTGCACCTTCGGCATTTAGTCATGCTGGCCACATGACCACGGAAACGTCTTCGGCTTTGTAATGGAGATGAACACTGCCCCTTAGAGCCGGAAACAACTAGCACGTATGTGTGAGGAGAACCTATGGTGGATTAAAATCTCCAGTGCTCCTGTGCAGAATCTAGCAACCTGCACTGTAGTTATGGACTGTTCATCCTTAAGCAGCCACTGAAGATAAGCAGTATCAGAACAGCCAGGATACCTAGCAGTTATTGGCAGAATTTGGTTTTTCAGTATCTCTAAGCAATAGCACTTATATACCGCTTCACAATGCTTTTACAGCCCTCTCTTAGCAGCTTAAAGAGTCAGCCTATTGCCCCCCAAAATCTGGGTCTTCATTTTACCGACCTCGGAAGGTTGGAAGGCTGAGTCAATCTTGAGCTGGTGGGACTTGAACAGCTGAACTGCTGGCAATCAGCAGTCAGCAGAAGTAGCCTGCAATACTGCACTCTAACCACTGGGCCACCAAAAAGAAAATCGAAGGAGTATGTGACCCACAGTCTCCACCTCTCCTGAGCCACAGGAACAGTGTCTTTCAATCAATGATCTCTTTTTATACTTTTATGCCTGTTGCATCTTTTTGTGGCATTTTTTTCATTTTTATTTTTTATTCAAGAAAAAAATATTTTAAAAAGAGAATCACATTCTCACATTTCAGTGTTTTCATAACAGTGTACATGTTACTACAAAAATATATTAAATCTAATTCCTAATTTCTTACTTATCTATGTTATTAATCGTCGTGATACACTTTGTTTTTCTGTGTTACTACACTACTACACCTATATACATAACTATACTATACATATAAACATAGCTATACATTTATCCTTATTTCTGTTGTTCCATGATATTTCTTTAATTATTTTCACTATACTTCTTTATTTCCTTGTTTTTTAATACCATAGTTAATCTAATCATTTCTGCGCATTGGTAAATTTTGTTGATTACTGCTAGATCTGTGGGTACCATTGTTAATTTCCAATTTTTGGGAAAGGCTATTCTTGCTGCTGTGACGATGTGTAGTATTAGATGCTGTTGTTTTTTACTTCATGATAGTTCTGATATTCCCAATAAGAAGGTCTCTGGATTGAGTTTGATCTTTAATTTTGTCATCTCTTCCAACCATCCCTGTATCTTAGACCAGTATTTTCGAGCTTTGGGGCATGTCCACCACATGTGAAAATAGGTTCCCTGGCTATGACTGCACTTCCAGCTTTTGGGTGACATAGTGGGAAACGTTTTTGCCAATCTTGCCGGTGGAAGGTGCCAGTGGTAGAACATTTTATATTCTCTTTATATGATATTAATCACATTAATTTATAGCTGGTTTGCCATATTCGTTCCCATTGTTCTAAGTGGATGTTACGACCGCAATTTTTAGCCCACATTACCACATTCTCCTTAACCGTTTCCTCTTCCATTTTAAATTCCAATAAGCAATTGTATAATTTAGTAATCTTTTTTTTTCACTTCCTTGTAATATTTTGTCTAGTTGCTGTTCTTTGTTGTAAAATCCAAATTGTACCTTGTCATATGCCTGTTGCATCTTTGCAGCTTTTTATTTTGTCAGTCTTTCCCAATGTAATGATCAAAATGCCCAAAGATCCACTAAAAGACAAGATTCTGCCACAATATAAGGACGGGGAGAGGGCTTGGCGATGGTTGTGGGAGAATGTTACTGTCACAAAAGACTTTTATTTTGTACATGTACTAGTAACTCTCAAATTCCAATAAAAGAGAACATGTCATGCCCTTGTTGGAATTTGATTCCGAGGGGGTGGTCGAGCAGCTGACAGGGAGTGGAAGTGTGGCTCCGGTGGCTGTAGAGGAAACTGGGGAAGGGCACAGTCTGGCTGGGCATTCAGAGGAAGACCCAGGGCCACCCTCTCTTCATCCAAGAGCACACAGGGAGGAACGGAGAAGGGAGCAACGTTAGTTACGTGAGTTACAGGGGAGGAAAAGGCCCTGATTCCCTTCATTAGCTGCAGCTGGGAAAACAGGATTTTTAAAAGGCATTGCACACAGCACCTTGCTGGAAGCAAAGCATGAATTATCTTTGTTTGTCAAGTCTTGGCGTCCTCCCAACTGTGTGTGTTTCATTATCTTTTGAAGTCTGCAATTCCTTATCCTGCCCTGTCTTGTTAATTGCTGCAGCGTGGTTTGTGTTGGTTTTTATTTATAATTTATATGTACTTTGCGTTTGGGTGGCATTTCTTCCCTTTAAAAACTGTTCTTGGGAGATTTTTTTTCTCCAGCCAATGATAACTGGACATTGGGGGCCAAGTTGGAGGTATTAAAGGGACTTTACCTACTTTTGTGACTTTGTTGCTTTTGTGCCACACCCCAGGTCACCACAGAATATTTCTAGCTCAGGGCTGAAATGAGAGGTCCTTGGTGCTCTAGAAGCTTGGATGTTATCTTGCAGACATGTCATTACCCAATTTCCGTAACATCATCAGTGCTAATGCTATCAGATAATCTTAGTTTAGCTACTAGCCAACAATTTCATTTCTTCGAAGCTTGATCCCTACCTTTGTGGAAGGATCTTCATAGGACCGGAAAGGCCCTTTGAACATGACAATCCCATTCTGATAGAAGGTGATCGGAACCGAATCCAAGCGCTTCAACCGAGCTCCACCTGTAGTGTGTTTGATTTGGGACACACCTTCTCCAGCTAACACATTCAAATCTTTCAGATTCTTGAAAATCAAATCAAAATTGATTGGGGTTTCAGAAATGATGGCTTCACCTACACGAAAGGAGAAATGACTGTGAGAAGGCAAAGATAAGGCATAGTTCTGAATTTTAGTGCAAGCTCAGTATTTGAACTGCATCTTCGCAAAAGCAAAAGCAACATTCCAATGCAACCTTTCCAATCCCAAATGTGATATCCTCCGGATGTCCTCCTGACATGAATTCTGGGAACTGTAGTCTAAATACCCTTGGGGGGAGGGAGCAATAGTTTGGTAGACAGTGGCACACAAATGGAATTTTATTATCTGCATTTCTATAACAAAGGCATTGTTTTATTTGATAAGTTTCTCATCATATGCTACAGATATAGTGATGTTTCCCTCCTAGGGAAAGCACAGTCTAAAAAGTAAGATATGTTTGTGGCTTTTAAAAATGTTTTCTAAATTTCTACAATAATTATCACTGCACACCCTCCTCCAAAGGATCTGCAATATAATTTAAAAGTATATAATTAAAATAACCACAAAATTAAATTTAATTATAAACAACATAAATAAAATATTTAATATTTAGAAATCTGGCAAAATAATTTCAAAACTCATCTGAATAGAAAAATGAATGGAATAATTTCCTGAGGACTAAAAAGGCCAATTTTTGTTTCCTAGTATATAAAACAAATCAGCTTTGATAGGAGCAGTCAACAAACGCTTTCCTCCAAAACCCACCTGAAAGTCTTGCTCTTTGTTATCACAAATCTAACTATCAGCAGGATTGTTCCAAAGGTGCTTTTCACAAAGCAACTGGACTTTCTTGGGTTTTTTCCTTTAAGACATTTTGCTCTCATCCAAGAAGCTTCTTCAGTTCTGACTGAAGGGTGGGGACAACATTCAGTCAGAACTGAAGAAACTTCTTGGATGAGTAGCAAAATATCTTCAAGGAAAAAAACCCAAGGAAGTCCAGTTGCCTTTTGAAAACATCTTTCGGACAAACATAACCTGGATAATTGAGAATCGCCACAGACGTATCAGCAGGATTATATAATGAACATTGATGGGGAGAAGATATCAAAATACATAACTACTCTATGAAATTTTGCAAAGAAAAAAAAGATTATTTCCTCTTTCAAGAAACTGAAAGTATGTCTTTCATTATTCTTCAAATCAATAGAGAAAGGGGAGAAATGAGATTAAAATAAAAGATGACGTATATTTTCATGCTTCTTAAAAAAAGAAAATCATTCCTCCCAGTTAACCTGGTTTCCAAAAAGTTTTTGATGTCAGGCTTTCTTCTTCCTCTTGTGACTCCAGATCTCTCAAAGAATCAGGGTCTTCCCCAACCCAGATCAATCCATAGTCATTCAGAAAAAGCTTTATGGGAGAGGGAATAGAAAAGTTAGGGACAAGGAAATTGATAGTAGTTATTAATTGGTACATTAATCTTTTTATCTGCAATGACAACATATGTACATTCCAAGATAGAATAGGAAAATTAAAATTGCTAAAATTTGAAATTACTAATTTTCCTGAAAGTCAACTACTAGCAATAGCACTTAGACTTATATACTGCTTCACAGTGCTTTTACAGTCCTCCCTAAGCTGTTTACAGAGTCAGCCTATTGCCCCCAACAGTCTGGATCCTCATTTTACCCACCTCGGAAGGATGGAAGTCTGAGTCAACCTGGAGCCTGCTGAGATTCGAACTGCCAAATTGCAGGCAGCCAGCAGTCAGCAGAAGTAGCCTGCAGTACAGCACTCTAACCACTGTGCCACCATGGCTCATAAGGCCATTAACTAAGGCCATTTTTAAGTAGGGAATTTTAATACATTTTAAAATGTTGTTTGGGAAGAGAATCACAAAGCCACCTCTGCAGATGCAGAGTCCTTCCTGTCTCTTCTTAATAGCAACAGAGAATGACATAAAGCAGGGGTGTCGAACGAATCCGGCCCACGGGGTACTTAGATATGGCCCACAGGGCTGCCCTGGAAACAGCAAAGGATCAGACCATGGTGCCTTTACCAGTGAAAATGGAGCTCACAGTACTCCCGAGCTCTGCTTTTGCTGGCAAAGGGGGCTGAAGGAGGCCATCGCAGCTGAAAACAGAGCTTAGGAGCCCATTTTCACTGGCAGAGCCACCATAGGCACCCCTGACACAAGTGACATTGAGCTGGCCACACCCATTCTGGCCACACACACACACCAGCCTCCCCCCAAGGTCAGACATAACCCTGATGTGGCTCTCAATGAAATCAAGTTTGACACTCCTGGCATAAAGGGTGGTGTTTGTGTGTGTCCCATCTTCTTTCCACTACTGTTTGCATGAGACACACTTTAGTTTTCCAGTTCAACAACTGTCAGTTTTCCTTGAATTCATGAAAAAGCTCAGATTCCTAAGGGGAAAAGGAAAAATTTTATTTCTTTCTATTATTTAGCTAACCTCCATTTCCCAAACCTGACGTTGCAGCTGAAGGCATAACGTTTCCAATTCCTCAACTCGGGTTGTCCCTGATGACGTTTTTTCTATAGGGAGGGGGAAAAAAAGAATTTGGAATTCCTTTTTCTTTTTAAATATCAAACCAAATGAAAAATCAATAAATGTTCTGATTCAGAACAGAAAATAAGACAAATTTATTTTGGGATATATATTCTTCATATTATTTTTCCACATTTCATCAGTTTCAGTTCTTAGTAGTCTACAAAGTCCTACAATCCATCTCTCTATTAATGCTAAGGATGAAATATGATCTCTTGTTTTGCATTTCCCATCTTTCCCAAGTCACTGCCTGCTGTTGAGGACTAAAAGAAAAGGAAGAGGAATATGACATTACCTGTTCTCTTCTGAAGGGTTTTGATCTGCTCCTCAAGTTCTCTGATCTTCTTATTCTGCCAGCCCAAAAGCAAAGGTCAAAGCAAGTTGCTTTTTATATTAATGCAAACTCAATTTGATTATTATAGACACAGAGCCAGACAATTTTCTGAAACTTGGAAAGCACATTAGTCCCCTGTCTGTTTTCATCTGCTACTATTCACATTTCATTTTCTGCATTGGAAAAATTATCCTATCCTTGACTATTTCTATTCCCCCTGACAGTGCAAAAGATCAGGACCCATACATTAACTTGCAGCACAAAAGATTTATTGCAGCCCACACACAAGAATTTAGTCAACTAATGGCCCACACTAAACTGGTGCTCAACAAGGGTCAAAGGAATTCAAGGAGGCTTGGAGCGTTTGTGGACACGTAAGTATTCTAAACTAATGACACATTTAACTCCACCCGCTAATCCTGCCTGCTCTTCTACGGTCAAATTTAAAACCAGCCATGGTGTTCCATAGTCCTGTGACTAATTCACAATATTGTTTGCTGGTTTATGGCAAAAACTGTCCATTCAAAGAATAGGTTCACTTAACAATTGCCTCACTTAACAACTGCCCCATTCACTTAACAACCACGTTTGCTTAACAACTACTATAAAAAAAATCAGAAATTTACTTCTGGTTATGTGGTGCCTTGACTTATAACCATAACAACATAAAACTGAATTTCTGGTCCTAATTACAGTCTTAAGTCAAGGAACTACCTGTACCTCTTTTCAAGTCATCTATTCAGCTTTTAAGACTGCAATTTTCCCTAAGTGCCCTGTCAAAGAAAACATTTCTGAGTATTAACTCCAAACATACCAATGTAAGAGCAACTATAGAGTAATGCCCTTTTAGCATACAGAGCTTTTTATTGTATCTTTTAAATTTCTTTGCACATCCTGTGCCAAATTATCTACATTTATTATCATCTGGTCTCTTTTAATGTGTTGTTTTGATCTTATTATATTACTTGTTTTATACTATTTTTATTGTAATCATGACTCTTCTTAATTTTGCTGTTTATCCTAATGAGGTATCTGCTACAAGCTGGCCTAAAAAAATTGCATAAAAAATTTAAAATAACAAAATGGTAAGTAAAATATTAACAAAATTTCAAGAGTTTCCAGTGTGAACCGTTACAAATAGTTCAAGGGCAATTCCTGCACTGGTTGTATTGTCACCTTCTCTTGGATTGCTTGTGCTTGGCTCTTGACTTTCCGCTCCAAAGAAGCAATCTTCTGCATCATAGAAGTCATCAATTCCATATCACTGGGAGCATTCCCTGAAGACATGAAATGAGCAGGACATGAGGATAATCTGGAGATGAGCCTTCATAGTAGCAATCAGTTTAAGGGCACTTTGTATTGCTCAAAAATGGGCCATACTTCCAGAAGACTTGCTATGTTGTCTGCATTGGCTCTTTATCTATATCAGTATCTCCACTTTCATGAGGAGAAGCTATCTGATTTCAGGGAGAAGGGCTGTTACTTGGTTTTGTTCTATACACAAAATTTAGGAATTCAAATTGTGGTCCCAATCTAACAGGAACCACGAAGTATTTTTAGCATAGGGACATGGGTCTCATTAAGTCAGCTTTTTAAACTGTACAGTGAATTATGATTAAACTTACTCTTACTCATTCTAAAGTGACTAATGTAAATGCTTATCATTACCCAGTACAGCTACATAATTCTATATCCAATTCTTTGACTCATACCAAGAATGGTTGATTGTGCTGTAGCTCCATTTGAGCAAGAAGGCAAATTAATTTGTACTGGAATTTGAGCTCCTGGCCCTAGAATTTCATCCATCATAGCAGCTTCATCCTCTGTGAATCAAAGGGATACACTATTATCAAGAGCAAAGCTATGATATTCTCTTTATTCTGCTGTGTGAGAGAGAGGGAGGGAGGGAGGGAGGGAGGAAGGGAGAGAGGGAGGGAGGAAGAGAGAGAGAGAGAGAGAGAGAGAGTCCCACGCTCTTCTAGCACTGATATTGTTACCTAGTTGGGTAATGAAACATCTGAAAGAAAACAACCAAGCTCAGAAAGCACCAAGGACTCTATTGTTTAGAAAGAAATATCCATTGCCACATGGTATCAATTGTTATCATTTTCCCCACACAGACTGATATAACAAAGTGAAAGACTGATTCAAAGCATTTTTTTCAGAAAACTGTATAGCACATTAAAACAGCATTAATTGCACCTACCATCTTTTGCTAATTGTCATCTATATGGGTGTAAAAGACAATCAGATCAAACCAATTTGTCAAATCAAGCAAGAACTTTCTTAGTTCCATATTTCCTATATATGTCCCAAAGGTTATTTTCATAGCGTTCTATAGTTTAATTGTTTCCTGGGAGATTTTTAAAAGCTTTATAGAAATATATAACATTAATGGTATGGTATTTAAACACCAGCAATTTTTATGAATCTGGGATGTAAAAATAATCCTATGGTTTATTAAACTATAAGAAACGCTTACAATGTTTACAACATGTATTTAAAATAAAAGATATGAAGCTTTGTTAATTTACCATTCTGGATATTTATCGGGGGTGGTCCTCCCTTTTTCCTAAAATCCAGAAACAAATGGAAGAAACAATTTAAAAAATAAAGAGGAAAATTCATTCAAATTATCATGTCAATATATCACATTTGCAATCACGTTTGTGGGGTTGCCATACGATTTATTCTTTGGAATGGTTTAGTTCTTCTTTTTAAGGAAGTTAGACCATATGCATAACTCAAACAATAATTTAGGATTTCCTGTAGGAATATGTAACATTAAAATAGGAAGAAATTAAAAAATATAAAACATCATGGCTAATAGTTTCAAACTGTAGTAAAACTGAATGAAACTAAGTGTATTAGAAACGTTTAACCTCTCCCAGGTAATGCTCTCACTAATGGAAGAAGCTTAAGGGCCATTTTAGTCATTCGAAAGAGGTAGGACTGTCTATCTGTTGTGATATTCGGAAGCCAAAATATGGGATTTTTTTTTCTACCACAGACTTAGATTATTTCCTCCAATAAACCCTCACTTACTCTGTTGGCTGCAACTGAAGTGGCATTCTGCGAATCTTGCCGAGAGAAGAGAAGGGAGATGACATTTTTTGTTTCTTGAACACAGTTTTAATTCCTAGATGGAGAAAAGAGATATAAACTTTTGGAGACCATTGTGTATGACCATTGTGTAAAATTATACTGTATTTGCTCAAAACAGCGAAAAAATATCCTCAGGTGAACTATATCATGATTACAACACATGAATACACGCTGGAATGCAAAAGAGTTAATAGTAGTGTCGGGCAATCCTGAAGTATAACTGTCTCTGCAGAAGATAAACACGAGCACTATTCTTTTTGAAGCAGTATCTGCCCACTAAATGGTAGACTTGATTCCAGCTTTTGCCAGTCTGGTGGTTATTACATATGTGAAATGACCGCTCCCATCATCCTTTAGATCATTATTAGCTATGAAATAATAGAAGAATTATTAGCTATGTTGGCTGTGAATGATGGATGTTGAATTCCAACACATTTGGAGGGTGCCAGAAGGTGGAAGGCCATTTCAGTCCACATAAGGAACATATTTCAGTGCAATCCACATATTCTAAAGTTAAATTTATCCCATCAGCACCAAACTGAGGAAAGATGTTTGACCTTTCTTGAAAACGTTACGACTTGCTCTTGCATGGGACCGCACTGCAGCCGAATACAACCCACCCCATCCTTGCACTCACCAAATGTGGGACCTCAACTTCCATAGGTTCCCAATGCTCCAACACCTCCAAAGAGCTCCCAGAGGAGAAAATGAGAATCAGCCTTATGCAAAATCCTTATCCTGAGATGAAGCTCCCTATTAAGGCCAGAGGGATTCCTTGGCTGGGTTCAGACAACCTCTTAGGCTAGGTGAGAAAGGCATGGGGGAATTTCAGCTTCAGCGCATGCTTTCAGGGACCCAGCCGAGGTCTGAGCCTTGTGAAGTCAAGGCTGTGTTTTATGGCAGAGGCCTCCAAACTTGGCAACTTGAAGCCTTGTGGACTTCAATTCCCAGAATTCTCCAGCCAGCATAGCTGGCTGGAGAATTCTGGGAGTTGAAGTCCACAAGGCTTCAAGTTGCCAAGTTTGGGGATCCCTGTTTTATGGGAACAGACTACATTAAGCAAATCCACCAACTGGGTACTGTTAGCTAAGGAGTCAGTTTCCAAGGCCCTTTTCTGCCATGGTCCGTTGGAATATCGCCATCTCCCCCCACCTCCACCCCCAATTAAATTGCCCCCGTCCCTGTTGCACGGTCACACGGTCTTGAAAACTTGGCAGCCACCTCGCTGGGATGAGAACCAACGTGCCCCGCTAGTTTGGGGAGGCGCCGGGGATTTTTCTGAAGGTCTTTCGCGGGAATGAGGCGACCTCGTCAAGGACAGGTGGGAAAACGAAGCGCGCGCGGGGCGGGGGGGCTCCCGCTCCCAGCCTGGACTCACCAGTCCCCCCGGAGGCTTCAGAGAGGCGCCGCCATCTTGTTTACCGGCGGTTGCCTAGGCTACCGACCCCCGTTTGCGTTTCCCGAGACTACATTTCCCAACATTCCAAGCTCGGTCAACCGCCTTCCCTGTTCAGCTGGGCTTCTCCAAAAAGTGCGTTTCAAAAGGCAACTGGGCTTTCTTTAGTTCAGTTTTTCTTAGCATGTTTCTTAGCGCCTTTGGAACAACCATGGCCTGGATCAGGGGTTCCCAAACTTGGCAACTTTAAGACTTGTGGACTTCAACTCCCAGAATTCTCCAGCCAGCTGGCTGGTGAATTCTGGGAGTTGAAGTCCACAAGTCTTAAAGTTGCCAAGTTTGGAGACCTCTGGCCTGGATGATTGAGATTGAGAATCTCCATAGGGATTCAGCTTCTTCTTTGATGTATTTTGGCAGAGTTGTGAGAACGGAGCATCTCTCGCATCACTTGTATCTCCACTGTTGTTTTATTTTTGGAAGGGGGCCAGGAAGAGAAATCAATGCAGCCTTGGACGCCATCTGTCCCCTTCCAAATAGACAAGTGAACAGGTGTGTGTGTGTGTGTAGATGGATGGATGGATGGATGGATGGATGGAGTGGATGGAGAATATGCCATCAAGTCACTGTGGGCTCTTAACAACCACAGGGATAGATTTACTCCAAGATTATATGTTGCCAAGGGGATCCTTTGGGTCTTCCCCACAATTACCTCTACCTTGCTGCTGGTTGCCCTCTTCTGTTTCCTTTCACCTTTCCCAGCATTGGACCATTTTCCAGAGAGCTGGGTCTTCCGAAGTAGCATAAAAATAGCCTGCTCGTATGTCTCTGGAGTGACAATTCTGGACTGATTTGTCCAATGATGATCCTACCCCATACAATGCCAAATGTCTGGAAAGCCCAAACTGCCTATCCCAGATGAGAATGCCAAAAGCCAAACATTTTGTGTGTGTTCATCCCACGTACCCTGCCATAAATATAACGTTGGATTTATATAAATCTGTGGCATTGTGGCTTTTAAAAATCTTTTTTTTCTTCCTAAGACTGACTTTGTGCAAGCCTTTGTATTGTTTTCTCTGCAATGCTGTAAACAAGAGACTTTCTTTCAAGGAAGGTTTTGGCTATTGCTCCTGATGCACTGACTTTCGAATAGCACAAAGATAGATGAATTCACTTTATTAAAGCAAATGTTTTGGCACATCTGTATGCCATTTTTGTGTAGTCAAAAAGGACAAGAGAAAAAGTTGAAAATGAGAAGATTCCGCTAAATCAAACAACCAGCATCTAGCCTAGCATTGCCACAGTGGTTGATCAAGTGTCTTGGGGAAGCCCCCAAGCAAGTTAGACAAATGCAGTCTTCCTGTTGGCATTTTTCAGTTCCATGCAGAGGTGATATTCAGCAGGTTCTGACCAGTTCTGAAGAACCAGTCGTGCAAATTTTGTGTAGTTCGGAGAACCGGCAAATGCTACTTCTAACTGGAGATTTTACAGTATCCTTCCCCTGCCATGCCTACCAAGCCATGCCCACAGAACTGGTAGTTAAAAAATTTGAATCCCACCACTGGTTCCATGGTATTAAAAGGGTCTGAAAGTAACATAGAATCTCTAACCATTTTTTCAGGTTTATTGATCCGTCCCAATTTACAGTCAATATCAGTAGAGGGGAGCATGATTTGAAAATCATTCAGATTATTTCCTTTGCTATCTGCAGAAGCCTTAGCCCAGAAGCTGTTTAAAGTATCTGCAGATTAATAAATCTATTCATCTGTGTCTTTTTTTTTTCTGAGGAAGCTTGAAAAAAGCAGCTGCTTTAGAGATGTGCTGCATTCACACCCCTTGCATTCTGAAGAAACTCTTCTGATCATTTTTGAAGAATGCATAGTCCTACTGTTAATCAGGTGAGGGCCTAGGCCAGGGGTTGCCAATCTTAGCAATTTAAGACTTGTGGACTTCAACTCCCAGACTTCCTCAGCCAGCTGGCTGAGGAACTCTGGGAGTTGAAGTCCACAAGTCTTAAAGTTGCCAAGGTTGGAGACCCCTGGCCTAGAGCAGTGGTTCTTAACCTGGGCGATATCACCCCGCAGGGGGTGATTTCATTTTTCAGGGGGGCAATGGAACAAAAAGAGGCAATGCAGGGGTGAAAGAACGGAAGGGGGGTGATATGGGGGCGATGGAGCGAGAAGTTTTGAGGACACTTTTGATACTTTTTTTGTACAGTGAACAGCTGTATATCTGTCGTACAAAAACATCAGATTGCTCGCTATTAGTGGATTGAACTGTGTTTTAAAATGTTCTGTAAAAATTTTCTTTATGTCTTTTTAAGCCTTTTTACAGTGTGCATGAATATATATTTTCCTCAAATCTTAATTTAGTATCAGAGTTTTTGTCTTGAAATTCTTAGTTCCTGCATTACAGTTTGTTCTTATGCCCTTTTTATATATCTTTTTACATCTTAATATTCACTTGTAATTAAATCATTAAATGTTACTGTTATTTTCGGGCATTTCATTTTCTTGCAGTTGAATTTTGTTTTCAGTGGTCATTGCATTTAAGTGTCTTGAATAAATAAGATAATAATGAAACACTTGTATCATGAAGTTTGGGAGTAAAGTGATGGGTGGCATCAGAATTTTTCACACAGTTGAGATATGGGAAAAAGACTGGAAATAAATTATTTGCATCGCTATGTCCTGATGACAATTTTAAAGAAAATAAAAAACGTGTTTGCATAAATTGAAGAATTACTTCCCTGTGTTGTGACTGAGAGGTTATGTTGGGGGAGGGGGGCGATGATAACTTCCTTAATGGGTCAAGGGGGCGAATTCTTTCAAAAAGGTTAAGAACCACTGGCCTAGATCACTGATGCGGCATAGTGGTTAAAATGCAGTACTAGCTCACTGCTCACACCAGGAATCAGATCCTAACCTGCTGAAGGTTGACTCAGCCTTCCATCCTTCTGAGGTTGGTAAAATGAGGACCCAGCTTGTTGGGGCAAATACGCTGACTCTGTAAACTGCTTAGAGAGGGCTGTAAAGCACTGTGAAGCAGTATATAAGTCTATGTGCTTTTGCTGTAAACACAAGTGTAAACACAAGTGCTCAAATTTAAAAAATGTTGTTATAACTTTGAATGGTCATCAAATAAATGGTGGTAAGTTGTGGACTACCTGTATATCGCACATGTGCATCTCTATTCTCCAGACGGAAAAATAAGATGGGCCTCCCTACTGCTGATATCCAATAATTTCTACTACTTCAGGTAGCTGCCTCAATCTGCCTATTGATAGGACCAGCCCTGTTAAGCATTAATTCTGTCACCAATGGCAGAGGACCTAAAATAATAACAGCTAAGGTTATCCCAAATGTGCTTTTTTCAAGAGGCAGCTGGACTTTTTAGTTCTTCTTTGAAGACATTTCACTTCTCATCCAAGAAGCTTTTTCAGCTCTGACTGGATTGTGGGGAATGGAAGGATTGATAAGGAAGTATCCATATACTTATGGATGAGAAGCAAAACATCTTTAAAATAAACGATAAAGTCCAGTTGCCTCTTGAAAAAAGCGCAACCATGACCTGGATGACTGAGGATCTCCATAGACATAACAGCTTAGGCAAATA